AAATACGTGGACGCAAATGCAAATCCATTGGATGCGTGACCCAATCAATTGAAAATTTGTCTGTTTCAATAGAAAAAAGGTGTAGTAATAGTTAACAGTAAGTACGTTACTGTAGTACGAACTAGTACTATTAATAGTACACGATAGTGTGTATACTATGTATGTAGACACATGTGAAACGTCATATTGTGCTTTCGAGTGAAATTGCGTGTTGTGTGGCGTGGTTTCTCGTTGGAATTTAAATCGATTTGATTGGCTACCTGAGCTTAAAATTATTAGCCAACCAAAACCATCTCAATGAAATTCAACCAATCAGATCGGTTTGGTCGGCGCGATTCGATTGCACGCCCTCCCCAAATTTGTATCAAAACCACAATATTTCGAAGAATCAATAATTCTGAGCAATTCGTTTCGAATATGTATATTTTCGACGCTGTGGACACTCGCCGATGGCTTGTTACGCGTCTTGCAAATGTTTCCAGATGAGGTCGTGAAACGACAAGTCGGCGTTGATTCCTAGGGAATAGTTCCACACAATCGCGCAGGTGGACATCAAGATGGCAGTGCCCATGCACTTGACCGCGTACTCCAACAGGGCGTTGACGAACGTTGTCGCATTGTCGAGAAAATAGCGCATCCATCGCTGGCGCCATGCCGGCGACGCTGGCCCTGCAGATGGAGGCGTCGAAGTCGGCACCATAGCGCCACTGCGAGCACCGTTGAACCCGCCTTGGGTCATGCGTTGGAGCACGAATTCGTTCTCGGAGGTCGGACATTGGACAAGCACGCGCTTGGACGTCTGGGACAGATACATGTGGCCGTATTCGTCTCGAGTCCATTGCTCTTCCTGGGTCGTCATGTACACGTCGCGACTGCGCAGACGCAGCAACGACGGGGGGTAGCAAACGAAAGTAGGGTCGCCGACTGTAGATGTACCCTCAACGTTTTCAGATGTACACGCGACAGCCTCCATCACGTCGGGCTTCGCATTGTTGGCTGTGGTGAGTGCTGCTGAGGTATCTTCTTCCTGCTCGGGCTCGTTTGTCAGGGGCGATGGTGAGGATACCGCGGAGCTGAGACTCGGATGGAGAAGCCACCCAGACACACCAAGGCATAGGGCGACATAACGAAGCCACATGACAACGCGGAACTCGCTCTTCCAGTAGATCCATGCCATGGCGGCACCTAGAGCGACGGCTTGGCCGACAACAACGAGATTTGTCGGCGGTGTCGACGACGGTCGCTTCATCTTGGCTTCAAATCCGGAATTGGCCAAATTCAAAAAACGATCTTCTCGTAACATTCATTGTGCTGCATACAAACATCAAGTTAAATGTATAAAATTGTGACGTGTAGCGCAGAGTGGTGGTCGTTTTACCATCTCAAGATTTTTGTATCCATGATGGCAACGAGGGAAGCCACGAGCGCGTGACAACGATGTAAGACTGTAGTGCATGGTGCTACATGGGTATGCACAACAAACGTAGCCTCGTCGAGGCATCGATCATGGCCTTCAGCCATCCCAAGGCTCATACAACCCAAGGACTGATCATCGATCTAGGTCATGCTGTGGTTGGTTGCCTTCGTAGCCGCTACATCGTAGGTAGGCTACAGCTTTGTAGCAGGATGCCAATGTCAACTTTTGAGAGGATATGGAGAGTCTTGGGCATGACTTAGGTTGGTTCATGCCAACTATGCCCCTTCTATGCCACGAATCCTCCAACCATGCGGCTACAGCATTGCAGTATATGTATGTACCACAAACAATCTTGAACTAAGCTAAAGTACTCAACACATTGGTACAGTAGTTAGTGGCCATCTCTACGAGTTGGTCGCCCTTTGTCATCTTTGAGGTCTCCAACGTGACGTCTCATAACCACATGTACCAAGGTCATAATTGTTTATAGTGTTAGATGTGGTTGGGCGTGGCGTACAGCTGGCCCATGTCGTAGCTGTGCAGGGCGGCGGCAACCGACACAGCGTCTTGACCGTCCTACACATACAACTCCCTCATCCCCCGCTTCCTGCGACACGGGACGACATCGTACCAGGTTTTGGACATGTCGATTCGCGCCCTTTTTGAGCAACACCTCGACCACGTCCGTGTGGCCGTGCTGTGTGGCCAAGAGCAGCGCCGTGTTATCATCCTATGGACATCCCAAGCCTCAAACCATCGAAACATGGGTACAATGCGTCGGTGGTACTTCGTCCGTGGCATCCACGACAGCCTGGCGCTTGAGAAGTAATTTCACAAGTTTCAAATGGCCATTGCGCGCCGCGACCATCAACGGCGTCTGGGATGTCTACATATGATGGTGAATGTAGGTCGTTATGACGTGGCACGCCGTACGTCGTCCGTAGTGTCCACACGCGCGCCATGGTCCAAGAGACATTTGGCAATGTGCAACTGACCCAGGTGCACGGCTACCATCAATGCCGTTACCCCGTGCTAGACAGGTATACACATCTTGAGTAGAATCAAAATGTTAGCAAAACAGATATATAGTAAGAATAACAATTCCATCTTGAAAACATATTTATATAAAATAAGGTCATTTAATAGTAATAGTAATATACTAGTACCAACGAGGAAAACATGTATATATATTCATTCGGACGTAATATGAGCAAAACATACATAATACATAACCTATAAAAAGTACAATTAGATCTTGAAAAACTATAAATGATATAAATACATTATACTTAAAAACGAGAATAAATAATAGTAAACGAAAAAGTAAATATACCACACAAAAAAAGAAATACTATTCCTACTATATATCTAACCGTAGAATCGCTGCGAAATCTATAGTAAAAAATAAAAATCCAAAATTCGCGTGGTTTGTCTAATCAATATTGAATCAAGCCGGATTTTTGATTGGTTGAATATACGTGTCCTTAAGAGCCAATCAAATCCACTCAAAATTGGATTGGCCAATAGCGTCGATTCGTGATTCGATTCAGCGGCGACATTCGATTCGACGGGGTCTGGAAACTCAATCCACCATAAGTACCTCGTCGATAGCTTCCGTCTTGGCGCCGTGGCTTAACAAGCAGTCCACCACGCCCAAGTGTTGGCCCTTCGTGGCCGCCAACAGCGCCTGGTGGCCACTCTAGCACATGTATACATCCGGATATGTTCGTCTATCATCCGGATATGGAATGTACGAACCGAATCTGCGACATCCACTTTGCCATTTCGAATCAGAGTTCGTACAGCCGACAAATCCCCGACCGCAGCCGCCCGCCCAAACGCGGCTTCAATCTACAGTAGTAGTCGTCGACCATATACCGTCAGTCGTAGTTCCTACTAGTAGTATTACTACGCACCATTTTCGTTTGCTCGACAAGAACTTGCAGGTCATGGAACTAGCAACATCCGATACGTTGTCTTGGTAATAACAACAAAGTGAAGGGACTTGTTTGTGCCCGTTGATTACCTGGAATAAAGCAGGTCGTTGTACATTCGTGTCAGATTCAGTGAGATGCCGAGAAGGTAGTTGTTGCGAAGGAGGCTGGATGTACGGCGACGACTGTGGCATATTCACAAATACTTGCTTGGCTCGGGTGGCTGTGTGGGCACTGATGGGGTAGCCATGTACATTGAAAAAGAGATCTTGAATCGTCTTGATAGACAGCTTCTGGCGATCTGCTTGTGCCTCCACTAGTGTCTTGACCACCTATAGCCACGTCTACATTACTCCTTTCCTTCCATCAACGGCTAGCATACATAGTATTATTATAGTACTCAATCGAATACATCGGCAGATAATCGATCAACCAATCAAAAAACAGATCGTTAATCACGTGGTCAATCAAGACGCATTAAACACTGAATTAGTGTGTGACCTAAATTAGTGTATCGGAAATCAGCGTATGTATTTTCATCAAAATCGGATATATTTTCATATAAATTGACTGTCAGTACAAAACCTCGATTGACGGATTTAGCAAATCAGCACTATAAGTCCAAATTTTGGCTCAAAATGCCATCTAAAACCCATACCTTGTCCATGGGGTTCACTCGTCGGGGTTTGTTTGGGATGTTGATGGCTTCAATGGGAAGTTGCTGCAGTGGCTCGCCCAACAGATGCAAGTTGTACGGCAACGCTAGTGGGGACGACGACGACGACGAAGCTGTGAGGAGCATGTGCTGGCGTTCGGATGGCTTTCGCGTGGACAAGCACATGGGTGAGTGGACGTTGTGGATGGTGGAAAAATAAAAGCACGCGTCTTCGTTCTTTCGCTTGCTTTTGGTGGCCACGATACGCCAGTCGCAGTGAGGCTCGGACGTGCACACGAAAGTCTTGGAGTTGCCGCTGTTCTTGCCCACGCGCAGCTTCATTGCTTTGTTCTGGTTGAAGCAGTAGTCCTGCAAAAAGTATTTGGCGTCGCGGCCGGTAGGGAACGTCACTTCGCCGTTGATCGTGTCGTCGCCGTGGAGGGCGCGGAGGTTGATGAGCCCGTCCGTGTGCAGAGCCGGTTGGTGGGCGGCTGGTGGTTGCCGATGAAGCATGTGGGTCTGCATGTCGCCAGTAGCATGCATATTTTGCAGGAGAGATGGAGGCTGTGGTGCATGGTGCAACAGCATCATGGCAGTCTGAGACTCATGGGAAGGGGTAGGCAATAACAGCGCCGAAGGTTGGCCCGTAGGTGGCTGCGGCACCTGCTGGCCTTGCGATGGGTGCATGTATTCGGGCGTTGGTGGTGCGGAAATCGGATTTAAAACAATTCGATTTCGGGCTTACATATTTGTATGTAATAATTTAATTTCACAAAAGAAAGACGGTTTGGAATAGGTGCGGAAGCACCAGCATCGCCATTCGGTTGGATTCTGACGTGGCATCACCAGAGCAGGAAGATCAATCATTGAGTATGTCGCGCTGGTGAAGACAAATGTGAGCAGGTCAGGTCTACATGTAAGTTAGGATACAGTACTTTACGTAGTACTATAGAATAGTGTTGTTGACCAAGATTGACAATAGGCCATGTCCACAACAAGTCACGCTGTAGGAGTCCGCCCTTCAATCACTCGACCGCAACCATGTCCACAGTCACATGGCGAACCATGCGTTGACTGTTGTAACATGAGTGTGGATGCATTCAACCAGTAGGTACGTCCGCATCGTGGAAAGGTGAGACTGGCAAATGTGCCTGTGAACTTACACTAAAACGAATGTCCACAGTCACATGGCGAACCATGCGTTGACTGTTGTAACATGAGTGTGGATGCAGTCAAACTGGAAGGGTGAGACTGGAAAATGTGCCTGTGAACTTACACTAAAACGCGTTAGAACTCGACGTGATTAACGTCAAAGCATGGGGCAACAGTTGAGACTGTCAACGACGAATGTGGTGACGCATTTCGCGACTGTAGAATTAACTAGTTAATACGAAACGTGGAGCATTCATTGCAAGTCGCCCCGACAAAGCAGCCGACGCGCCGTATGGCCCTTTGAGCGATTCGCCGCACCGGGGGCTGCCACCCCTCAGCCGGAACAATTCATTGGCGAGTGAGTCACTTTTGCTGCCGAGGTCGCCCAGTTGCGGCATTGGAACGGCCTCAAACCGGCGCTTCTTTGGTGGTCCCATTACGCTACGTCCTGGGTATCAAGGTGGGCCGCCGTGACGGGTTAACCATGCGCTACGTGTTGTACGTCTTGGAACTGCCGTACGAAACCAACACACTACCCCCCCCGATCGCCTACAGTCAGTTGGTGACAACCCTAATCTGATGTGCATCGACACCCGCCGACGTTTGGCCATTTCGGCCAACTTGACGTTGCCCCTTGGCATTGTAAACACGAGTGATGACGAAAGCCATTTCCACTACGTATTAAGGAATTCGATGTTATTTTTCCATTGGTTACTGGTCCTAATCCCAGAAATGGAGGTTGTCGTCCCTGTCCCAGCATCAGCAACGGCCAGGTTCGGAGTTCGTATGATAGAAACGTTGCACCACGCTCCGAACCGCCCCGTCGCATTCGCTCTTGCCCCACCGTCACACAAATTCAGTTGATATGTCGTCGACTCCAAGTGATGCTGGGGGTGTCCAAGCCATTCGCGACGCCTTTGAATCGCTCGACCGCAACGACATTATCAGTCACTTCACACTCCCCGATGGCGACGCCGAGCCGTACGTTGTCTGCTGTGACGTGGGAGTGGACTCGTTCAACGCGTACATCCGCCTCGAAGAAGAGAATGAGAACGACAAGCTGCTAGTGGAGTTGCAGTTCCTGGAACTCGACGAGAATGGTCGACTGAGCATTGTCGATTTGCCGACGACAACGCACGAGGCCGTATCTGCTGAATTTGAAGACCAATTCATCGACTCCTTTTGGTACTCGTCGGACATTGCCATCCATAGATCATTCACCGGGCATCGCCCCGGAGCATGCGACAAGGCGCCCGACGTAGCCTTCGGCCCGTTGGGTAGTACTCCGCACCGGGGGCCGCCCCCCGAAGGCCGGAACATTGGCGAGTGGGTGACTTTTGCTGTCGACGTCGCAGAGTCGCAGCCCTGGGCCAGCATTGAACATTCGTTGCTGTGGTGGTCCAACTACGCTGGCATCCAGTACGGCCTGGGTATCAAGGTGACCCATGACGGGCTCACCATGCGTTATGCATTGTATGACTTTGAGGTACCACATGCAGCCAATACGCTGCCTCCCCCGATCGCCCACGGACAGTTTAGCCAAGCTGACCTTGACATGTACAACCCTGTTATGATCAGCATTGACACACACCGGGTCTTGGCCATTCCGGCCAACATGCCGTTGCCGCTGGGCAAGATGAACACGATCGAGGTCAACTTGAGTCACGTCATGGAACATGTCATGTACTACTAGGAATAAATCAAAGTGCGATAAATTTAGCCGTGCTTTAATATTCCAACGATGGAGAGTTTCAAAGTGTCCAATTTGCATATTATTGTACTTGACATGGATGGACACTTTTTTGGATTCAGCACGAGGTTTGCTTGGTCGTCCTCCATGCTGATTTGTATCACACTCACCCTTGTGACTTTGTGTACTTTCCGATGCTGGAAGTACTACCGGTAGAACTTCAAGATCCGACGATTTAGTCAAACACAAGGTAACGTTATACTACGTAGTAGTCATTAACCAGGCCATTACACGACCCATTTCGGCCCGGTTAGCAAAAACGCAATCAACTTACTTCGTCACCAGATTTACTACAAAGTTGTCAGGTACGATGGCCGTGTGGTGCTTGGTTGTTACTCCAATGACTAGGGGGCCAACATACCTCAGGTATCACACTTGGCTACATCCAGCCCTTGGGGGACTTCGTTGCTGTCACAATGCACCAATCCGGGGTCATTGGATCATTGCACCAGGGGCACGCCTCGTCCAATGTTTGCAATTGTACTGCTGCCACGTATTTGGTATTGAATACCAATGCGGCGAACGAACGACCGTGCACTTCCACTCAGCAGTCGGCACAGATGAAGTGAACGTGAACATGGTTGAGATCGTGACTTGTCGTAGCTGCTATCGACATGATCTGGTAATAGTATGAGCTGTGCTACCAACACCACAAACCAAATGGAAGAATACCACCCGCACGATTGATTGAAGCGTCCTTAAGAGGGCAGAATCTGTCAACGGCACAGACTAGCGATGAACCAATTGTTGGCCAGTGGTTGCTCTTGCTTTTGACTTGAGCAACCAGGTCGTTCATAGTACAGCCACGGCGGTGAAATACCTTTAACTTGTACTAACGTTAGTACTAGTATCATATTCGACTTAAAAGGGTGAACCCCGGTTCGTTGCGATCACCATTCGACAATGAGGATACGCCCGTCCTCATCGAGATCCAGGAACCGCAACGCCACGGGCAGCTTGTCGTTTTCGTCCTCCTCGAGGCGGATGTACTCGTTGAACGCGTCCACGGTCACGTCACGGCATACAACGTACGGTTGCTCATCGCCTTCAGCGCACGCAAAGTGACTGTCGACATCGTTGTAGTCGAGCGATTCAAAGGCGTCGCGAATGGCTTGAACCTCTTCCGCAAGAGTTCTCGTTGACATGGATATGTCTGGGGATGCGTTCTGGGCCAGCCAAATAGAAGAGTGCAAACGTTTGATGGATTTTGACAGAAAACAGAATCGCGACAGGTCAGATTGATTAACGTTATTGACCAACGGTAGTTGTGATTTTGAGTTCCGAACGCCCCGTCGCAGTCGTTCAGTCCGAGTGCATGTTAACGGAAGCCACGATAAGCCATGTGGGTCCAAGCCGTTCGACCGCAGCGATGGGCAAAATCACTTCACCAGCGCTGACTCCGACCCAGAGCCGTACGTTGTCTTTGTCATTCCGTCAGTGTAGATGCATTCAACGAGGACGTCGGTCTTGGTGTTGCGGTTCCTGGAACTCGACGTGTACGGTCGCCTCCTCATTGTCGGTTGGCCGACGTCATCGAGGCCTTCCGAGAAGACGTATTTGTTGAGGCTTATGGGAACCACATGCAAATTGCCTACATGGATAACTCACCACGAATCGCCCCGCAGCAAGCGTCAAGGCGGCTGACGTGACGTATTGCTTGCATTCTCGTTCAACTGGATACTTGATGTACAGTATGAATCGAAATCGACGACATGCACTTTGTCGTTTCGAATCAGAGTTCGTTCAGCCGACAGAGCGCTCGTCCAACCTTTGCATCATTTTACCGGTAGTACAGTCGATCATAGATACTCCAGTAAAACTACTAGAGTATGTACTATTCCAACGTAAGCGCTAGAACTGGTGGACGGATAGGTCCGTTTGATCCAGTTTTAGTGGACAACGTCAGATGACGTGGAGGTTTCTGAGGTGGAGACTGGAAGATCGCTGACATATTCGCATAGACTTGTTTTTCTCTCGTGGTGATACTTGAGCACTGTGGTGTAGCCATGTACTGTACATTGAAAATCAGGTCATGTTTCGTCAAGTGGTCAACTTCTGGCCATTCGCACTCGACACTATCAGCGTCTTGACCACCAATTGCCACACGTACAAGTACGACGCAAATCATCTCTCCATATTTCCATCCAACAACACGAGGAATGTCACAACACTAATAAGTATTGACCACGCTCGGTTTGAATGAACTACCTTGTAACTTGTAATCGTAGAATCAGAATCGTTAATTTGTGTCAAACACTATGAATATCCGACTTCAATCACCCCAAAGTGCCTACTGGTATATACCTTTGTTATGACCTGCCGCCGCAAGTCGACATTGATCATGGTCACCATACCCTGGGGTAACAGCAGGTTGGCCGGAACGGCCAAGACACGGCGTGTGTCGATGGGGACACAACACGGTTGCCATCAACATAACGTTAGTCGAACTTGTCTTGAACGATACGGGGGGTAGAGTGTTCGGTTCATGTGGCTAGTCGTACAATACGTAACACATGGTTCGCGCGTCATCGCTCACCTTGAATCCTAAGCCGTACTGGCGGCCAGCATAGCCAGACCACGAATGAAGCGTGTATTGGAGGATTTTCCAGGGCTGCAAATGAGCGACGTCGACAGCAAAAGTCACCCACTCGCTAATGTTTCGGCCACCGGGGGAAGGCCCCCGGTGCGGCGTACTACTCAACGGGCGAAACGTCGCGTCAGCTGCTTTGTAGTATGCTCTGAGGCCATGCGCATTGAATGACCCGCCTTTCACTATTTGCCATCGGCCGCCCCAAATGCCTCAGTAAATTCGTCAATCAACGCCCACGTAGTGATCTCGGCCGTCAATGTTGACCAATCGTCAATGAGTCGCTGATATTTCACGCCGAGTTCGAGGAAAGGAAATGACTCTAGCAACTTGTCGTTCTCACCTTCCCACGAGGTAGACGCATCGTTGAATATGCATGCACGGTCACGTCACAGCACACAACGTACGGTTCCACATTGTTGTTGGCGCGGGTGAAGTAACTATCAACATCGTTTCGATCAACCTATTGAAAGGCGCCTTGAATGGCTTGGACCCCTTCAACATGACTTGTCGTGGCTGCCATGGACTGGTCGTTTTTTTTCATTGAATTGCATGGCTTCATTGCAATTGCCGCGACTCAGTTGCAAAAGAGTCTGCGAGGGTGGACCGCTGTCGATACCAGTGGAAAATGCAATAGTGACCCTGACAAGGTCGAATGCGACGTGGTGGTTCAGAACCCAATATCGCAAATTCACAAGCAGCCCTGTCCTGGTATCCTGAGCAGCGACCTGTCAGTTCAAACATGTGCAATATTCGCGGACTGTGGATACATTCCTGTGGTGGTGTCAGAATCCGACTTCATGTTCTATACCCGTCGCATTTCGTCATTGTCCTAGACCGCCACAAAATTTCAATCAGTCAGCATCTCGTCATGGAGCCCAACCTTCCCTTCATCTTCCCCAATGGCTATGGACGTTCATCTCCTCGAACCCCAGTAACGTTAAGCACACACATACTGACCTTATAACTAACGAATGTCAGCCACGTCGACGAGGCGCATGCAAATACGTCTCGATGTCTGCAAAGCAACACCGGTAGTCGCATTGCTGACATCGGAACGTTTTTGAAGTCCATACTCGCCCATGGCGAATCCAATCGAGAACCTGTGGTCAGCAATGAAACTCCATGTGAAGACGTTGCGTCGCGCTCGGTGCATTCATTGGTCCACCTCCTAAGGAATTCCGAATGCATTATTACTGTATCTGGAGCATATTTCTGACCAAGTAATTCGAGGTATGCTTCTGATACCACGTAGTATATGAGTAGAGATGATTGTCGTAGGAGTTGATGTGAACCGTTTGTATCAATACGCTCTCCAATTCGACAGAGCCGAAAGCATGGACGACGAATTGGTTAGTGCTACGAGTCGATATTTACACTCAAATCCGTTGAAATCCGTTAACATTTATGCGAAATATGTCTCGTCACGAAATATAATTGATGACTGAGCAAATCACGAAATATACTGATAACGTTAGTCCGCGAAACATAATCAGTGAAGTCGACATTCCCACGAAATTACATGCCGAAGTCGCGAAATATAATGAAGCTCCACGTATTTACAGCCACCACAACGCCCAATTGCTCTGGTAGTTATAGAAACCCATCAAGTGTAGTGTAATAACCCTTGTAAGCTTACATGATATGTCTGCACTACAAACCCATCGAGTGTACCAGTTTGGGACAGTTTCTTCAAGGAGTTGTATTGTCGATTTGATACAAATTTGGGGACCCCGACCAAACCGATCCACAATCGATCTGATTGGTTGAATTTCATTCAGAAGATTTTGATTGGCTAATAAGCCACAACACGAAATTTCACTCGAAAGCACAATAATAAATAAATACTACGTATTAATAGTATTAATATTAATACTTTCTCCGTTCCTGAAAGGAGTTGTGGAAGAATGCTCAGAACCTCGACTAAGACAAAAAATAACCCAAATTCGATCTAATTAGGCTTTTCATGTAGGAAATACAATTACGAATACGTAGGTATTTTGGGATTTTTTTATTGTACATGGTTGCCGAGGTATCCGAACTTTAAATTGCACGACCAGACCAGCGATTTTTCAAAACTTCGCCACCGGCTTAACACTGCTCCAATTTCGCTGAAATTAGTGGCAATCGATAGCTTAGATATCGTAGATATGCTTAACACCTCACAGAATACGACAGTTAGTTTTGCTTAACGCGTTATGCATGTTTCAAAACGGTTCCTTCCACGACCAAGCAGCGATCTTATTTGGGATTCGACCGATCCAACTCGGTTGCAAGACCAATTGATGAAAGCTGCTTAGTGCAGAAGATACTGCTTATAGTTTGTCCAAAGAACAATGTAGTCTCAAAGGTTTTTTGCTGCAGTATACAATTTTCTCTATAATACGAAAAACGCGTAGCAGTAAGAAAAAAAATGACCAAAAACGTGTTCTTTGGACAAAGATGTAATTTTCGATTGAAGTAAAATAGAATAAAAATACACCAATCATATGCTTTTTGTAACCAAAACAACTTTCATATAAATTATCCATCAAAATCATCCACAACTTTTATCTGAAACAGAGGAAGTATTATTAGAGACTTTTATTAATAGTACGAAATGTGAGTAACTTGTTAGTTTACATACTTTGTACCTCGAAGTACTACGTCGTACTTCGTTCGATTTTAGCGATGTCTGAAGTTGGAAGTTTATAGCATTCATATTTAGCAAGTCTGAAAAATAAATCCCGTCACACCAATCCAACACCATCCATTATTTCCTCTCCTGTTCTTAGCCTGTGCCAACCGGTATGACTTCGTGTCAACGAGAGGCACATAAGGGCGTGTAAGGTGTGGATTTGAATATGGTATCATGTGCGACGTTATGAAACGATACAGTCATCGAACGCTATGGACAATAGGATCCTACGATGCCCTTGCTTTCTGTCAAGAAGGGGCACTTTGGCCGTTCTTGCTTTGGCCTTTTTCGCCGAGGTTCGGTCACTTACGGATAATATCCGGTCATCCGGAATTATCCGGTGTTCTCTTTCTGTAGAAACCGGACTGTTTATGCCCAATCATAGGTCAGCTAAACAGTCCGTTAATAATCATCTTTGGTTTTGCCCTCGACCACACAAGTGTTCTTCGTCGTCGTTCCTCCCCAGTGCTACCTCTTTATCGTCCCTCTTGACACTTTCGAAGTTTGAGGATCTTGAGTCAAGATTCTCCCTCTGTTTGGCCGTCAAGTATCGTGGCGGGCAAGCATAGGCTTACGTAGTCAGGAGCGAGCTCGCTGCCCGTCGTCCATGCCTTGGCATAGGGCCTATGCCCAGAGATCCGAAGGCACCTTGTAGCTCAGGGCAGTACATCACAGTATACTCCCCGCCGCCGCGCACCAAGCCGCCGGTGATTGCCGCCTGATCACCCTATCCATAGCTCTTGACAAACGTAGATAGTCTTAACTGTCTGTACTGTAACGTTACCTATGCGTCGGATTAGTGGAAATTTCGCAAGCAAACCTCAGCGGTGCATTTTGATTGGCTCGGATAGTTGTCAGCAAAAGTGTGATGACGTTATCATATTTATTCTTACTTCCACTTTGGTTCGTTATAGGTGCAGCTGTACGATATATACGATTGCATACTATTAATACTTGAAGTAGCAATGTTTTCTCCATGTATAGTCCAACCGTTGGATACATTCTGAAGAATTCAAATCAAGAATAATGTCGTCGGATACCGGCGCAACCGCGCCGACGGTCTCGGAGAAGACACTCGCTCGGCGTCGATACTATCGAGACAAGCAGCGTGAGTATCGCCGCAAGTTGAATACTGAAGGGGCAGCAATGGAAGCGGAGATCGTACACCTTCGGTCGATCCGTGATAGTCTTCGAGCCATGGGTGAGTCGCCAGTGCGTGAAGCAAGCGATGGTCCGTTGTCGTGGTGTACCATTGCCAAGGTGTTCAAAAGAGAAGCCCATCGTGTCTTGACGGATCGCCAGGCACTGGTCACTCAAACACAAGAGTACCGAACCCTCATGCAGGCCATGCAATGCTTTGTCGTGATGAACATTCCGGTACATTGTCACATTTCCGTCGAGAGACAGAGGTTTGAGATCGCTGTGTCTGTGCATGTACTAGCTACCCATGTCCCGCAGCAATGCATGGTACTGTGCGACATTGGCGGCCGAGCCGAGAGCTCGAACCCTCGGCAAGGAGTGGCTCACGCAGCAATTGTACCACAACATGCACAGGCCTTTCGCGTCGTTTCCTGCCGTGAACTATGACGACGAGTTTTGCCATATCGACGTCCAAACGTGGGACGACGATGACCCGGCGTTCATGTACATGGAAAGGTTGCAGTACTCGTTGCCAGGCACGTTGCACATGTTTCGACGACTGATCGAGTCCAACATGCAGGCAGTGATGTTCCATCCATCCATCGAAATGGCAAGTCAAAATAGCTGGCTATGCCAAACAAAAAACCAAATGACCCTTGGCGTTGATTAGGTGGTGGAAGAGAGCACGGCCAACACGCGGTTGTTTCACTCGGCCACTGCCAATGGCGCGTTCGTGAACTCGCTCCAAGGACACTTCATGGAAGCTGATCGGTTCGTCATGGTCATGCGCCAAGTTGAACACGATGAAGTCCACGTGTGCCCCCCCCCGCTCAAGCAGCGGTGCTTCAGGTCGTGGTGAGTGCACGGCAATAACTTGTATAGTGTGATGGTTCGACGGTGGGCTTAGCTACTGTATGTAGGACCGAGGTGCGGCAGGTATCGCCATCGCACATCTTAGTACGTGTCGTGAGTCACTTGTCGCACTTACATCAACCTGCCACCGGGTTTGTGAGTGTGGACGACTTCGCGGCGATGACGGGCATCGACATGATGGACGTTAACGAGAAGGACGCGTACGTCCGGCGCGAAATGATCCGACGGGGGCATGCGGAGTTCTTGCCTTGGCGGCAACGTTTCATGGACATGATGCACCACCAGACCACGATAAACTAATTAGAGGTGTTTATCAAGTCAATATTTTGATGCTGTGTTAACTTGTCATCAGACACGCCCATTTCGAAAGTGGTGCGAAGTCAGCAAGCTTCGAAGTTCGAATCGAAGTTTTACACTGGAAAGTCGTCAAGATTTCACACTTGCTAAAAAAGTCTCTATTATATTATTGTGGATTTGATACAAATTTGGGGCAATCGAATCGCGCCGACGAAACCGATCCACAATCGATCTGATTGGTTGAATTTCATTGAGAACGTTGTGATTGGCTAATAATGTTGAGCTCATCTGAGGTAGCCAATCAAATTGATTTAAATTCCAACGAGAAACCACGCCACAACTCGAAATTTCACTCGAAAGCACAATAATACTGGTATTGTGCTTTTCATGTATTTTGCCCGTTGTTTAACTGCGTTAGCTGTTATTGTGCTTTGCATGCAGTTTGCCCGTTGATTAATTAGGTTAAACAACCGGACGCTTATAATTATATAAGCCACTTTGATGATACAGTAAAACAACGATAACATGAGGTTCTGCGTTCGACGAAAATAATATAACGACATTCAATTTTAACCAACGGGTTCAAAGCAATACAGCACCAACGAGATGCCGTCACGTTGCCCGACTCGTTCCTATGTGAGCTGACGGTCAAGGTGGGCAAACCCTTGGGAAAAAGTAGAACCAGCATTGGCGATCCTTCGATCCTGCAGCTTCGGAGAACGGACACGTTCGGGGTTGTGAAAGCAACCTTGGTGGACGCCGCATCCTCGACGGTTGACCACCACCACGCCCAAGCAGGTAGTATGCGATCCACTTGAGTTCCCGCGACATCAAAGGATGTATACATCAAATGTGCGGCAAACGCGAGACAAGACAAGTACATCATGCTGACACTGGACAACTACAGCGATACCGTGCTCCAAGTGTGGGAGAACGCCAAGAAAGTTCGCAACGCCCAAGCTACGTTCACACTGTTGCTGTTCATATACATTGGTACGAAGCACAAGAATTATATATATATCTCAAAATTCCGTTTAGAAAGAAGTACCGATACTCTTGCGATTCGGCGGGCCACACAACAAAATATTGCGTCCTCGTCCATTCGGCTTCCTGAGTTTATCAGGGAGGATGACGTTGACCTTGAACCTTTGCAACTGCAGTATGCATCTGTTGTTGCAGCACGATTGCCGATTTCGGCTCCGATCGAAATTCCCTCGAACGCGACGATGCAACAACTGCGCCACGTTGACCGGATGGCCGAAAATCATGCGGACGAGCGCCGAAGAGACATCAACATTGAGTCTGAGCCGTATAGAATGGTTCGTATCCGTATTGGCTCCGTTACGAGTGCCCCAGTAGAATGTTATATATCTGTGGAGGACATGCGCAGAAGTCTTGGACTTCCTCAGTGCGATTTGACACCAGCATTTCGAGCCCCAATGCATGGCTTATCTGAGCCCCTTTTAAATACCGAGGATGTAGATCACATTGAGGAATAATAGGAATAATTCACTTCAATGTGTGACAAGTTTACATTAGAAAACATTCTTTGTCTAGATGATCATTTTGGTAGCCACAATGTCTGTACAAATTGTACGCTACGTCATCACTTGATTTTGTGCATTCAACGATTGCAACATCTAACGTTGCCCGTATATCAAACCTAAATGCCATCGTGTATTTGTCAATCCAACGTTTCAGAAGGCTAAATCCAACTTCGATTGGATTGAGCTGTGGAGAGTATGGGGGCAAATAAAACAAAAGGGCGCCGGTTGAGTGGACGGCGTCTTGCAACTGCTTGTACATATGGATCTTGGCATTGTCCAAAATCAAAATGGACCGCGGGAGTGACCAAGGGTTGAGGCAAGTCTCATTTAGATATTCCATTGCTAAAATTATACTTGTGTAAGATTTGTCCGTTCGATACCATCAACATAATCCCACGCCAGAAACCCGGACGTTGTGAAGGCTGCTAGAGCCGATACTCGTTCACCCCTGGAAAACGGTAAATCCACAATCGCCTTGGTGTTGCGCCTCGACCACGCAAACTTCCGCACAGCATCGCGGCCATCCTGGGAGTAAAAACACTTCAAACGCACGTAATAGTCCTGCAGCTCGAAATCCGCAGCCTCGAGCGCACGCCGTTCCAAGACTATATATGCAAAGTTATTAACACAATTAGACGCATTCCATTTATAACCTTTTCGGGTAAGTCCAAGGTCATGCATCAATGCTCGGCAGATGGTTGACGGTGATACGTTTTTGAGAGACGGAAATTGGAGCTGGATGGCTTCTTGTAGCTCCTCGATATAGAAGCAGGGATGCGCAATTGCGTAGTCGTTGACCCACGCGTTCACAGTGTCTGGCCACCGTAGAGTAGTGGCACGTCGTGCCTTGCCGTCGACGTAACCAGTGCTCGAGAACATCTCATTGAAGCGAGCCACTGATCGATACGATAGGCCAAGCACAAGCATCACCACTTCAATATCTATCCCATAGACCTGCACCAGGACTACACATCTCCAACGCATGTCAACGCTGATCATGACAAAACAACTTGTTTGCCACAATGAAGTCGGCAAACAACTTGATTAACGAAAATGCCTTTTACAACAACTGCAACCATTTGATATGAACCAATCACCATTAGTTTTTACGCTAGCTTAAACAACGCACCCAACCGTTATTTAAGTTACTTTAGACGTTATTTAAGCCTGAGAAAATTTTAAACAATGAATTTAACCCTGGAATTGCCAAAAAAGGTGCAAAGCACAATATTAGCCCGATTGAAGGTAAAACAACGCTAAACCCAAGTTCTACCCAAGTTCTGCATTTTTTCAGCAGAATAAAACGACCCTTACTTTACAGCACTTCAGCCGCTAACTAATAGATCATTCGGTCAATATATGTAGTAGTGCTACAAGTACTAGTAAATTGTTTGTCGTAACTAATTTGAACACCTTGTCCAATTGTATCGATGAGGTTTGCGGTACTGGTCACGGCAGGCATCGCGGCTTCGATTGCCGCCACTGCCGCACCTGTTGGGGAACAAGACAGCCGGCTCGAGTACACAGAAGGTCTTACCCTTCGACCCCTTCCCCATGTGGGCAAGGCCGTGGCGCATTTCCATTTCGATCTTACGACGACATCAGCGGCGTCGAGCCAAGCTCATTTCGACGTGTTTCCCCAGAGCCTTCGACACGTGGTTCAAAAGTACAACGTCGAGGACCTCGAGTTGACGTTCACAACAGGGCTGTGGCGCCATGAACAATGGGGTAGCATCCTAGGCAACGGCCCGCATGGAGTTTCGCTGCAGGCGACGATGCACGATCCTTCGCATTGGACGGGGCTGACTCAGCAACTGGCAGGACTCTTCTCGGCGTCTCTGAACAAGATGGACGCCTCGACAGTCTACACCACGAACTCTTCTTCATCTACAACAAGTATCCACGGCATGCTTCCGCGCGAAGAGCTGTGCACAGAGAACCTCAGTCCATGGCTCAAGATGCTTCCCTGTCGAACGCACGGCGGCCTTGGCGCGTGGGTTCGACCTGTGACGCTGCTGGACTCGGACTTCCTCTCCATTAAGGTACGCGTCGTCCACGACCATGGCACGCTGCGACTCCATCAATCGCTCACGGTGGTGCGGCGAGTGGATCCCACGTGGTCATTGCAGTCGCTGCTCGGCCTCACGTCTTCGCCGACGTCTGCATGTGCTTTGGCGCGCTCTAGTGTCGTGGCTACGGACCTCGCGTTCGTCGGCTCGTCTGCCACATCCCCCGGCACACGTAACAACCCCGTGGACCACTCAACTCTCCACCAAGTCTCCTTTGCATCGGCAGCGGCGACCACTCCCTCGCCGTGGCTGGTCCGATCTGATTCTGAGTCTGATTCCACTTCTGCGTCTACTACCTGGCGAGGCGTCAGCGGCCATCGCTACTTGACAGGATACGGTCAAGTTCGCGGCGGCATTGGCCTGCAGCTGACCAACCACCACCCAACCAATGCCATCCACGTGGCCTACCACGAAACCATGCCATGGTATCTTCGCGTGTACTTTAGCACCGTTCGACTTCGATTGAATGGTGTGGATGTGGATCCGTTGACGCTGCCGTCGTTTCACGTCACAGTGCCCACCTCGTCGTCTCAGCATAAACACCTTCGTGCACCGTATGAACTGCACTTTGCAGTGGAGATTGCCCCTCTGTCGCAGCTAAGTCTAGCGTATTCGTTCGACAAGACGTTTCTGCCCATGGGGGCCCACCCCCCCGACTCGAACCGTGGCTTTGATGTGCCACCGGCGTCCTGGACAGTGGACGGTGTCACATATTTCACGGAGCCGCTGCTTGTGCCCCTGCCCACCCCCGACTTTAGTATGCCATACAATGTGATTGTACTCACATCCACCGTGGTGGGGATGAGCATTGCGATCGTGGTGAACACGCTCGTGAACCACGAACGACGTACCAACTTGCTGCTCACACTCGTGCACAAGCTTAAACGAGCGTTTGCATCTGCGAACAAGAACAAGGAAAAGAGCGACTAACTACGAACATTACTACATAGTAGTACATTGAAACGTTGATGATATTAATACTTAAGATCGATGGAAGGTGTACTGTGTAGCATTGGAGCATGTATGCGATTGGGCAGCACAACTAACTCGACTACTGTAGCATTCGACTTGACTGATAGCAATTCTGTACAGGCAACCAAAAAACTGTACTGTAAACCACTGATATTTCCCTTTAACAGTGTCCAAGCGGTACCTTTATTCACATCTGTGACATGTCTATTACGCTTTTGAATACTAGTATAAGACAGTGATATCACAAAATCCGCGACACGGATTGATTTAAGGAATTCATGGTTTTCTGCACTCCCTACAGTACGTACTGCACTGGATGCGATCGATACCTACAGTAGTACAGTACTACCGGTAGTCTGTCCAGGCTTGGTCATTGACATCATCAACATGCTGCCGCCGCCACCTTCGACCACCACCAAGACCCCGCTGCTCGACAGGTGTATATAATATATACATCTAGCTTACCTATCAATTTACCCAGCGTGCTGACGACATGTCGTTCGTAGCCAAGACGCTGCATCCTACACACAGCAGCACGCACCAACAACCACCTCAACGATGCCAGCCAACTCGAGTCGGCCAAAACAGCGATGGGTCCAAGCTGCTCGGCACATCCGCGACAAATCGCCCAAGCCATCGAATCGATGGAACGAGCTCTTGACGACGTTCCGGTCGAGTCAACGCAGCACGTGCATCATGCGGCCGCCAGCCAACCCTGACAAGCCCATCTCTTCGTTTCAACTGGTATGGTCTTGATTATTCAAACGATGTCACATATCTATCATGCTGTGGCCAGAGTGATATTGACGTGTTCTTGGGCCGGTCGAAACCGCCGGCCATCGAGTACATTGTCGTCGAGGTGCTCGTGCACAAATGTCCCCTGCATCCGTCGCATCTAGGCCGGTGGGCGCACTCGGCTGTCCGGTATGGCACCGTATCGCAGTTTCATCATTTACTCGTCTGATATGATGTTTTCATATGCGCGAAGGTACACGATGCCCAACGGTGACCAGAAGCTGGTCAATATTTGCCGGTACGTGGTGGTGCCACGTCATATATAAGAGATTTCTATCTAGACCAGAAGAAGGCCACCAATTGATTGAATTTTACGACGACCCTGAAGATTACCTCTTGGGCGTTCAAGGCAAGGTATGTACGTACAGAACCAGCCCAAACAAACAAATCATATTGTCAATTCGATTCGAATTTGGGGGTGCAATCGACCAAACCGATCCACAATCGATCGGATTGGTTGAATTTCATTGAGAAGGTTTTGATTGGGTAATAATTTTTGAGCTCATCTGAGGTAGCCAATCAAATCGATTTAAATTCCAACGAGAAACCACGCCACACAACACGCAATTTCACTCAAAAGCACAATAACATTACTTTATTATTTGCTCGATGAAATTCAATTTGATCATTTTTATTCAAAGATTCCGTACTAACAATATGGACAATTCTATGAAATAATATCGTTCGATTCGCGTTTTTCTATTGCATGGTACATACGTCAATACCGCAGAACCCTTTACAACCAATATATTCGACCTGTACAGTGCAAAACTACCAAGACAAATAACCCCGTTGGGAACTGTAGGGCGGTATCTTTTCCCGAGATATTTGCTCGATCCGCATCGAAGACGTCCATCCGGATAGCATGCGGGCACTGGATCATCATTTCCAAGCCATTTCCCATCGTTTTCGAGCCGATGGCAAGGGATGCTCATTTGAAATCACCGGCGGGTTCTGGGAGAACCTCGTGCGCGAAATGTTTCATTTGCCGTCGAAACCCAGCGGCAATTGTGCGCGATGGGTGTCGAAAGGACTCGTGTACGCAAACGTGCTGAAGCGCCAGAGTATGTTTCCCAAAGCCATTTGGGTCGAGATGCTCGAAAATCAGGTAAATAGATGTGTATATATATAATAATATTTTGTATTGGGGCAAAAGCGGATATTTTATTGAAATGCATCATCTTGCTTCATGTACACTGTATTTGTGCTTTGGGCTGCACATATTTATATATATATATATTTATATATTTGTATATTGGGGCAAAATCAGATTTTTATTCACATACCAGTATATACAGTAGGTAGCGCCCAAAAATTGCAACTTACTTTATGTGCACTGTTTTGTCAGCGCGGACTGAACAACTATTGGTAGTATTGTTCGTTCCACATATATATATATTATTTCGTGCATACATATAGCGTATATTTACCCCGTGTCATAAATGTAGTCGGCGGCGAATGCGGCCAACGTCAATGTCGTGTACTATCGTCGCATAAAAGGCAAAGCAAAAGAAAAGCCGCATCTACAAACGGGTAAACAAACTATTAAAATATATTCATGCCGAATATTATTTCATTCAAATCCTAATATATTTTTTCGATTTTTGTGTAGGGTTTAGCTTTACCAGCGTGAAAGCATGCTTATTCTTCCCCACCGACTTGTTTCAATCGTGGCTGTATTGGGATATGGCCAAGTTTGCCAATGTCATTGTCGACAACAGGTATTGATTGCCCTTTGAGCCGAAATTTCGACTTCTTGGACGCTGACGGAATATTTATAAGTGTCAAATTTCACACTAATTTCAGTCACATATGACTTCGATGTTAAAGCGTCAAAGAAAACCAATTTGATTGGTTACTTGATTATAGTTCTGGGTTGTGATTATCGATTGTCTGTTGATTTGGACTCCAATTTCGACCCGAGTTGACAATAGGATATGCTGTATAAGATCGACCGACTACATTGTCAGTTCAGCCAAAATTCGGATTTTTGTACTGAGTCGCCAAATCCATCGATCGGTTGTTTGTCTTGAATGTTGTATGTAAAAAGTGTCCAGTGTCACACTATTAAATATATAGAAGTCACACCTACTTGATCGAAGCGATAATTTGATTGGCCACTTGATTCGTCTCTCGGTTTTGATTGGTCGGTTGATTGTCTGCCAATTGTTGGAGCTGCTCGTTCGATTGAGCATCCCACTCCAACTTTGAATCGCCTTGACAATATATATATAATATATGTATAGCGACGATGTTTCGACGGACCAGCAGGCGGCACAGCTGCAGCTAGAGCTCGTGGGGGGGGAGGGGTGCCGCACCCCCCGCGCCGTGATCTACTGCGTCCGGTTTTCCCACGCGTTTCTTGTGTTTGCGTTGGCTTTGGGGTACGTTTTTTATTGCCCGGGTGGGTACCCCCCCCAAGAGCACGGGATTCCGTTTGCGTATGAAGTATGCCCAACAACATGGCCGGGCACAACTGGGTACCGCATCACGCTGTCCATCGTCGCAATTGCCATCTTGGAATTTTGGTGGTATTAAACGTGGCTGGGTGGATGTTGCGGAACAACTTGCTGGCGATTAAGAATTGACATATACTAAGGGGTTGCAATGAAAATCATATATGCCCACGGGGTTACCAGTTTGGTGTACATAGCATTAAGAAATGGTGGTGTCAACCTGCCTTTCACATACACGCACACTCCTCATTCTACTCATGACAGACTATAGGAACCCAGATACTTGTATATTATCCATCGGGTAGTAAGGCCGCAGACGACACTAAAGCAATACTGTAGTGTCCTCGCTTGAGATTACAGGGCAAATCCACGAAAATGTCCAGCTTGTACGGCTTGGCTTGCCAGTCGAGATTGAAAGTCTACCTCAACTAATCAACCAGGTAACGTGAGTAAGGAATGAACATAGTGTTTATTGCCTAGTGCGCTGCTACGAATTGAACCTGTCTCCACCCCAAAATCGAAACAACACCACGCGTATGCTCATTCCCACTAAGTCGTGCAATTAGTCGTAACGTTACTATCGTTAATAATAGCTATGGTCAAAGGATGTCCTTTTTAAACGGTTGCGTCGACCCGAGGGGTGCAAAATCGCTGCTGTGTTGGCTCGTGCATGTAGCAAGGCGGGTCCCTCTGGAAGTCGCCAGCCCAGCATACACGCGATATTGACTCGTCACCGTGTGCATCTAAAATATGATGATACATCGTCACATATGGAATAGCTCGTACATACCACACAAACAATTGCCAGCCACACACTGACCAGATGTAGGATTTGCCGGTACACGCCACTGGTACTACAGAGTACCAAGTCAGTAGAAAACACTTGATGAGAACTATTGTCTTGGTTCATGCACCAGGTTTCCATGGCGAGCTCGCAGGCGTCAGCGGCAAAAGGCGGCACGTTTGAAGCGCTATCGGGGCTACCGCTTCTTGTCAAGTTGGGGCGAATGATATATTACACTATCATGGAGGACTTGATTACCACAGAGCTTCGTGGCAGCAGCACAAACTCAATCCGACGCGCAATATCGCAGGGGGCAGCGAAAAAAATGTTGTCGAGGCCGCCACGGCCGCCAAGATGAGCAACTACGGCACCAAAATCAGTCGTATTTTGTTGGGGGGAATGAGCAGAAATACATAGGTAGCTTGGGGGCGACTTGGCTCGAGCCATTGGCGGATACAGGAACATCCCAACACGATCAGCAAGACAGGGGTGAGCCAAAACAGCACGCCGTCCCAACTCAGACCCCCGTAAACCGCGTGTCCGCGCACGACTTCTGTCATGTCCCACACTGAACATGCACACGCGGCCTACATCACAACCACCACCCCATTGAAATCAAAGCTACTAAATGACCGATTGCGTGCCCACCACGGCGAGCAGAGCGCTCACAAGTGAGGTACGCATGCTGGTGGCCGTGATGTGGGCGTCTTGGGCCATGATGCTATGGCGGATTTCAATCTACTGCTGTAATACTACTGTACTGCACTGTAAGATAACTACCAAAGAGAGTAAAAACATTGGGCATTCACGGTTGTCGTCGAGGCTTCTACGGTTCATTATGGAATCACACGTTTCAAATGGCCAAGTAGTTTCCATCGTCATTGTGGCCTGCCACGTAATAAGGTGACGTTCTTCAACCAATGTCGGATCTGTGAAACTCCCACACAATTTGGGTCCGTTACTTTGACCATCATTCCTAATTGAACCCCTTTGAAGTTTGTATGTCATGAGAATGTAGGTTGATAATCGCAGTACGCGCTTTGCGAGCTGGCAACATTCCGAAGCTGCACGCCACACTCGCTTGCTAGCTGACCTCGTCATGGCGACCAACAGCACCACCCCCGCCACCATAGAACGATGCACGCTTCTCAACGGCACCTTCAACAACCTCATTCAAGTCATGCTGGGTCTCATCGCGTTGTCGGTGCTCATCTTCAAGCGCTACCACGAACGACCTCGTCGACCGCTCAGGGTCTGTCGTCACCTTCGTGGCACCAACATATTTGACGCATGTTTCGTCGTAGATTTGGATGTTTGACGCGTCCAAGCAGCTCATTGGGGCAGGTGTGGCACATGCCGCGAACCTCGCGATCGCCATCACCCTCTCGGGTCTCGCCAAAGGACAAACGGGCGCCGATCAGGTCCATCTCCACCACCACCACCCATCGTATATGCATACATGTATCCTCACGTACAGTATATATCCATCGACCTAGTGCGCGTTTTACTTTGTCAACTTTACATTGGACACGACATTCGGGGTTGCGGTCAACTACCTCTTGCTGAAAGCGCTCGTGTATTTCGCGGTATGTAGCTACCAACCCCTCCCTCGTTCCCACCGCCATCACATCACTCAGCATGTTGCTTTTTTATGGCTGGCTTGTATAGGTCAAATATAACGTCACTGCGCTGCAAGTGCCTGGAGACTACGGTCATCCCATTCAAGTTCGGTACGCGGTCTTCCATCGTACTAGTATCCAGGGCTAACATTCGTTATGGTTGTATCCAGCGTCTGGGCGATTCAACTAGTTACGTGGCTGGTGATCATTTGCTCGACCAAAATCTTGATTGGGGCAGTGATCTTTGGCCTGGAGACACCGTTGGGGGACGTTGCCGCCTGGTTGTTCAGTCCATTTGGCGACTTGCCCAAAGTCGAACTTGTGATTGTTATGGTCGCATGCCCCGTGCTCATGAACGGCCTGCAGTTTTGGGTACTGTTGATGTGTATATTGCTGTAGTTCTTGTGAATATTCGCTATACACTTTTAAAATTCGCCTGGTTTATCGAATCAATATTGAATCCCACTCGCTCGAGTTGTGATTGGTTGAATATACTTGTCCTTGCTGTAAGAGCCAATCAAATACACTCAAAATAGAATATTAGCCAATAGCGTCGATGACTCGTGATTCGATTAATTCGGCGGCGAGATTAATTCGATGATTCGACAGGGTCTGGAAATCTGTACCGAATAATCCACAATATATATTTGTATTTTTTAATTCGGTTTAAAAGACGACTGGTTTGGGTTGATTCATGAGTATATTTACAAACAAGTGTGCCTGGTGCCGTGCGTTTGCTACGATTTATAATGTATTCAACATTATATGTATATATTGTAAACAGGAATTGGTGGATTTATGATATTATATATATTGAAAACAGGAATTGGTGGATTCATGATATTATATATATATATATTGTAAACAGGAATTGGTGGAGTCATGATATCATAATGTTGTGTAGATTCAAGACAACTTTCTCAAGAAACAAGTGCCCGATATGGACGCTGTCCCATCTTCCGATGACGCGGACGTTCCTGGAGACGCCCCCGTGGATAGTGACTCGATCAAGTCGGTGTAATCGGCGACCTGGGATGTTGTGGCTCACGCGTCGAAATTAAACGCAAACGATATTGTCGATTTTCTTCAAATTTCCCAATTTTGCATGGTTCGTTCAATCGAGCACAAATGGAGCCGAGACATCCGATTGGCAATTAATTATCCCAGTAGAAACTCGAAAATGGATTGTAGCCAATCAGTGATAAGCAATTTTCGATTGACCAATGGGAGAGATTGGTGCTCGATTCGCACGGCGAGATTATTCGATAGAACGGGGTCCGGAAATTCATACCGAATCTCCAATATTCCTTCACTTAACATTTACACGTATTTGTGCTGTGTTCGCTTTATGTTCGCAAAGACCATGTCTATTTATTTCAGTAAAGCAAATAATAATTAAATTTCTTTATTCTTGATTGACACAGAATAAAGAATGCTTTAAGCCAGTCGGAATGAATTGTTTGTTGACAGTGAATATTACTAGTATTCCACAATATCCCCTGAATATCGATGACTATTGAGACTTTGCAGAATGAATGATACTACGTATTGTCGATTTGATACAAATTTGGGGAGGGGGTGCAATCGAATCGCGCCGACCAAACCGATCCACAATCGATCGGATTGGTTGAATTTCATTGAGAAGGTTTTGATTGGCTAATCATATTTAGCTCATCTGAGGTAGCCAATCAAATCGATTTAAATTCCAACGAGAACACAATAGTATATTGATTTCTTGAGGCAAAAACTCTCAAGACTTATTTCTGCATCCAGCGCGAAGTACTGTACATATTCTTCGACCCGGTCCTTTCGGAATACTACATTATTCTATTGAAATGAATAAATCGCTCTTGTTGAGATTATATAATAATTTTCCCCTTGTTTCCCTATGAAATAACGATGACACTGTTTTGTGTGTTCGTGCCCCCTCGCAAGAACTTTGACGACAACAAGTACATCCACTCAACTTTTATTCTCAAGGCTTTGAGCGGTGGTGGTGGTACCCATACGCCTACAATAGCCACATTCGATTAGAAACATAACGACCAACTGAGTTCTCATGTTGTTGTGGGGACGATGCGTCTCTGACTATAAATACTTTAGTATCCATTACATGTCGAATTTGATCAAGCAGGGCCACGATAACTTGTTGGTTGCCGTTGAAAATATCGATTTGCCGTCGTAGCAGCGTCAACGGCATCGCCTACCAACACCCCTCCATCATATACTTGCCGAAATAAATCATTTAATCTTATATTTTAAAAAATATATAATATTTGTCAAATCGATTCGAAACTCTGGAGCCTTCAGTAGAAACGAATGTCTAAAGAGAATGGGATTAAAGAACCGCCTAAGCCAATCAAATCACGTTCATTCAAATTTCTACCAATCCCTCCTCCGCATGGGGCAAATCCGCATATATACTAATCATTGTATAAGATACGTTGTGCAAGCTTAAATTGAATCGAATGGATTCGAATGCTTTATTTGGCGAAATGACGACTCACAAGTCCAAATTTGGGTGAAATGCACAATACCGATTGATTACCTTGTTGTGGCTCAAGATCGTCATCACTTTGCTGATGTTATGCAGGCAACTGGCCCGCTTCCCCCGCGGCGCACGACATACGCCATCTAACCGCCGAACGTGTTCGACCTTTTCAACCAACGACACAAGGACCAGGCCATCTTGAAACTCGGGCAGTGTCGCCGCCTACAACACACAATGTACACGTCAACGAATACACCTCTCAAGTAGTTAGTAGTACTAAGTCCATCTGAGCTAGTAGTAGTTGGGCATGAAAAGAAGGAGTAGTAGAAGATACTAGTATGTACATCCAGCGAGGGAGGGGCGCCGTCCACGTGAAGCGCCTGCAGCCACGCCGCCAGGTCAGACAGAGTGGACGTCAATTTGAATGGTTGCGGCTGGGGGACGACGTCTTCGTCGACGTTGTGCCACGTCATGGGATGGTTGTTCCTTGACGAAACATCGTCGGGGTTAATTGGGTCGTTTGGATGTGGAAACAAATCTTCGGACGGATCGATGTCGGTTTCCCGCCACTGGTGGGAACTATGCACTTCCGTGTCGACGTGCCAGCAGGTGACGAGTCCGGTCGTCAGATCATCCTCTTCCTCGTCGTCGTCGTCGTCGTCCCCCGGGGGGCTGGGGAGTAGGGGGCGAAGGGGGGCAATAGAGTGCGGCGGGGGGTGGCTATCCTTATGTACGCGTCGAATGTCCTGTAATAGCCCCACAAGGACGTGTGTATGACCCGCGTAGATCTACATGACATCCACATTACTTTAAGAAAATCAAGACAAATGTTAGAGTGGAATGAGTTGATCAGTGTGGTTGGATTAGTTGGTTAGTACATGCGATTGGATTAGTTGTTTAGTTGATCAGGGATAGTTGGTTAGATGATCAGTGTGACGAATGAGTAGTTAGTTGGGTTCGTACCTTGTCGTCACACCATAAGAAGCGTTGGGGAATGGCTGGATGAGCACGTAGTAACTCGAGGGCGTGTTCAATATTACGCAGGGCCATTTGTTTGGAAACATGTGACGAAAGGTATGGGGGTTCGGCTTTAACGGATTTCGACATTTGAGTCACCCGACTCGCCAAGTGGCAGAGTAAGACCCCGCTTTGAAGGTGTACCTATGCAGTAGAAATATTGTTATTTTTCATAACATGCATGGAGGAAAAACAATCTGGTCATAGAGGAAAAACACAAACGACAATCTCCTACCTTAATATCGTCAAACGTTGGATGGACATGGGTGCAGTCGAGGGTGTCCAAGTACCCCTGTGTACGTAACCACTCGACGAGCAAGATTTTGTCGTCTGCGACTTGTTGGAGCTTGTGGTCGTTCTCGTTTTGTATGTCAAAATCTCGATGGATTTCTTTATTTAAAGGGGAGATGGTTTGAACGGGCACGCGTTGGAACGCTTCCATGACGTGATACAACAGTCCCCACACGAGGTGAAATTGCCCTTTGAGAATGGGGTCACTATGACAAGTGTAGATGGCGGGGGCGATCGGGGGCTCGAGGGACCGAAGCGCAGAGAGGGCCGATGAGACGTTATCTTTGGCTTGTTGCAACGTTGTCACGTTCGTGTGCACTGGGACGGGTTTGGGAATGTTGGCCATGCGATTCACAAGGTGGCTACCACAGCAATGTTAGCTTTACTTCTAGCTACTATAAGTTACCACAAAAGAACTCCATTTCGCAAGGGATCTTGGAGGAGACTTGCGGGCTACCGGTAGGCACACAAAATAACCTAATTGTGAGCCAGGGATGTTGATTGATAAGTCGTCTTCTACGCACTTGGGATGGAATAGTGTAGCCGAGGGAATGCAGCCAGTCGGTCACGCGACGGGTTTGCTCGTGGGTAACACACGGCAGCGGTCGCACACTGCTGCTGTTGGTCGACGAAGGGTGGGGGTGGAATTGTTGTGTGGTTGGAGGGGGCTTTGGTGTGGAAGGGGATGTACATTTCGCGTTTCGTGTCGTCGTGGTGGTAGTTGCTTTGAACACGGTGTATAGCAGTCGCCACATGTCGACACTGAACTGGGGACTCTCGGGGTCGTTCATGTGCATCAAAGTGGGGGGTAGCGCGTGCAATTGACTTAGAAACGTCAGGGCCAACTGCACGTTGTGGCGCTTTTGCGCAGAATTCTGAGGGGCGATGCAGCACCCTTGAGGCACAAATCGGCCTGGCTGGTCCACCAGCGGTCGTAGCTTGGCTTTTACGAAGGGTGGGCCCCCTCTACATCTGACATCAGGCTAAAACACAATTGCGCCAATCCATACCGGTACGCTAAGATGGCGGCGATTTGGCACAGGATCACTCCATCCTGAAAGGCTCGACCTGACTGTGCCAAGAACGTTTCGGCTGTAAAGTGATCAGTGCCGGGTAGCTCGTCGAAAGGCAGGGCGATACCGAGAGATCGAATCCATCGACAGACTGCGTACGCCTTGGGCAAGGGGAGTAACCCTGGGGGGGTCATATGGGAGAATGAAGGGGCGTTGCAATGTGCTGCAGGGGTGTCTGATTGGGCCAGCCATAGAGGATCCACCATGAATTGCACGTGGAAGTCTAAATATGTGAGGCAAATATGATGGTTCTGTAAGGGGGACAGAAATGGTATTCAAGGAGATAACGAACATACTTTTTTGTATCTGTGGGGAGGGTGCTATGGCAGTTGGTCGAGGCTGGCCCTGGCTAGTGTGTGTTGCGGGGGAGATTGAGCTGTGGACTTTGTCAGGTGCTAACAGCGTTGACGTATTCCACGCCAAGCCTGGCGGTCGAAACACTTTGGGAACGAGGCGAGTGGTGGGAGTTGGATATGACACGGCTACAGTGGTTTTGACTCTAGTTTTTGGTGGTCGTTCTGGAGGTGGAGTCTGGGGGACGTTGCGGTGTAGCTTGTCCACTTGACCGTGAATGTACTGCTGCTGCAGTCGCCGAATGTGTTTTTGCATCCACAGCGTCTTCAGGATGCTCAAGGTGGCGCATATGGCTGGAATTTGGCCTTCTAGAATGTCGAGAACGCTTTCGGGGTCTCGAAGGACGTGGTGATGACTGCTGCTATGTTTGGGAACGTGGGGCAGGACGACGGCTAGGACTTGTTGGATTTTGTGAGCAGATTGCGCCGTCGCCGACGCTTTGGCAGGAGGTGGCTGCAGGGTCTAGTCATAGTACATGCACAATTGGTCTCAAGTAGAGTTTCCGTGGAAGACCAACCTGTAGCGCATTCGCAACTTCAAACAACACGTCTCCATTCTGTAACACGGCAAAGCTGTCCACAAGCAGGCAAGTGGCAAGTGGCAACGAGTTTAACCAATGCAGCCACTTCTATAACGATGGAAATGTCGTGATTGAGGAGTACGTGCATAAACCATCAGCAACCAACCTTTTCACTGTGGCCAAGAAGGGGTGGCGGCGGCAGTGTTGCCATGTGCCTGCTCAAGATATGGCGCTACACTGACAGTTACGGAGTCGAATGGTTGGCTAAAATACATGAAACAAAATCGCATAGGTATGTGTCATTGGATGCTCAAAATATAATCAACCAGTGATTTATCCTTCCGGATACAGAAGCATCGTATCCGGTTTCAAACACTGCCCGGGGATTGGTCAACGTGGAATCGGTTCTGGGGCGTGGGCGAATTGACTGGTTTCGTGGCGAAGGAATCGAGATGATCCACCGAGTGACCGCCCGCCTCCGCACTCATGCCGGCGTGCTTCAGCGCCGCGGCATGGCCTCGCATGGCCATGGCGGACATGGTCATTACCCGCACGGCATGCACTTCCATGTGGACCCCGTGCACAAAAACGCTGGTCTCGCGTTCAGCGTGCTGACGTGGTTGTGGATCTTTCACCGCGCCAAGGAAGACGGCGCCGTCGTCTTGGTACGTTTGGACGCGTACTCACAGTACCATGTTGACTTACATGTAGGGCTTGGAACATCCGTGGGACCATGGGCACGGAAATGGCGACCACCACCACCACGGCGAAGGCCACGAGTTCGAAAAGGAAGAGATCGGAGTGCGACCTCGCCTTGTCATCAAGGAAGACTAGGCCACCTTGCAAACACAAGTTGTTGTCTTAAGCTGTCGATAACACAACGGCATCATCATATGTACACGTCATGGACATTGCGACCATGCATGCCATCCATGTGGATTTGGTGGAATGGTTCATTCGAGTGTGTTGGGTGATGATGCCAGTGTTCATACTGCACACCTCACGGGGCAATGACTCTTGCAGTGATGTCGATGGGTGGATTGTTGCTGGTCACGCCGTAAGTACATTCATTGCTCTTTCGATACGGCTAGATGATCCGACAGTGAGAGCAGCATGTTAGCCCCTGTCCACTACAGTACTGTATCCCGGGCAACGCCACCAGTCATCCAGTTTGAATGTTCCCATGTACATTGTCACTGCGTTGGTTTCTATCGATTGTCAGGCACTTTGGACAATGTTCACTTGAAAAGAGTGGTCATACTTAGTACAGCATTGACACTGCATGATGACTTATGGTTAGCTTAAGAGCATTTCCTCCGCATCCATAGTACGTAGTAAAGTACGGTAGAAATAGTAGTACAGTACCCTTCGTGCTACGAATTTATGACGTAGTATGTGCCACATCAAATGGTCCGGCAACGTTAACAGTTTAACCGAAAAGTCCTCGAATGAAAGTAACTATGCAAAGTATATACATACATATTTGGGTGCTAGGCACTCTATAGAAATGGCTTACACCAGCAGCGTCGTGCATTCTTCGTATCGCACGCGGTCCGTCTCGAGCTCGTTGTTGTGTCGTGCCGCCACGTCATTCTTCTTGGCCATATCGGCATCAATAAACTGCTGGATGTTCGGGTGAAACTCGTACTGGCCGCCAAAGTAGTCGTAGTACGACGTGCCGTCAAACATGTAACCGTCGGGGAGCGGGTCGGTTACATGTAACGCTTGGATGCGCCGTTTCTCGTCGACAGTTACGTCCGACAGCGCCACAACCGCCGCATGGCGCGCCGGGCAGCACTGCAGCAACAACAGGCGGAGCTTCTCGGCGTCCAAATGTTGGCCCGTAAACACGAACGAGCACGAAGTTGGCGGCTACAACAAGCATACACCCGTTTTAGCCCCCAGTCAGAAATATCGACTAGTTATACTGCTATCAGAATGCATAAAGTCATAGGTTTTTCGAAAGATCAAGAGTACATCAAAGGGGCGGAACGATGGGGTATATATATATATATATATATATAATGGTGGCTGTACCGAAGACAATGTTGGCTGGACGCGTAAAAACGCTTTGGTGCCCGTGTTGATATACATGTACCCGTGCTGACTGTCGTCGGTGAACGCCAGCGATGCTTCGACCGTCCACACGGTTCCCAGTTGCGCCACAATCGCCGCAATGGTCTCCTCTGGGACGACACCCTTATGTTCTTCATTTGACGACGACGAGTGCACCAGTTGCGTCGACACTTTGTCCATTGCCAGCGCCTTCGCCATATACGTACAACAACCATGATGGTCACACACAATCACAAAGAACTGGCATTATGCGATAGAGCACACACGCAATCAATCCATTCATCCATTCATTGTTTGTCCTGGCTTGGATATGGGACTCTGAGCTTGCAAAGTACCTGAGCGAGCCGTAGCCCAGAGAGTTGAATTGGAGGCGTCGATGTATAGACCGGATAAATCGTCTTCAGGGTCGTGTGGGGACTTAACCCGCGCTACAAACCCATCCCAACACTATATAAGTCCACGTTCACTCCAGCCCCTCGTAAGCCCCCTAAACCCCCCAATTGCCCCCCCTTATACACTATACAAGTCGTACCTGAATGCACGCAACGAACCGATTTCGGTCGAGTTTCAACTTCATTTCAAATCGGACGGCGGTGACAGAGGCTGGCAAGGGCACGACATACGTCGACGGCGCTTGCTGCCACGATGGGAAGTGCACGTCGCGGTAGCGTCGCCGTTCGGACGTTTCAAACACATCGAGGGCCAGAAACGTCGAGAGGTCCCCATCCAGCCCGTTCGACCGCAGACACAGCACGTCCGCGAACGGATTCGCAGAGTCCACGCGCAGTCGGAGGCGGGGCAGATTTGCCACATCTTGGGTGTTGGTGAGCACGACGGTCGTGACAAACCCAGGAGTCAGCTGGTCCCACAATTTAGGGAATGGGGTCGCCGAGTCTGGCAATGTCAGCGCAACGCCCGAGATGACAGTGGTGACGGTACTGAGCTGCATGGCTTGGTCGTGTTGAGTGTGCTTGACGGCAGCGCACACTGCGATCGGGTCTACATAGCCTACAGTACACGACGAAATGGTCAAAAGTTACATGGTTAGTTAAATGTGAAATATTTCGCAAAATAGTCTGTTTGTTTTGTACTTATCATGTTCATGGGAAATAGTATACATCAACATACCCACGACAGTAAGCAGAATGCGAGGCCGACGAGTAGTCAAATTGCTATCTTCGTTGCTTTGAATGGCCAGCAACGCTTGGTCGAGTTGCTGCGGAATGATCGTGGTCGTGTCCGAATCCGCGGGTAATTCCCGCGTGTCTACCACGACATGATGCCATCTACACCAGACTTCATTATATACACTCGGATATGATGCGGTGTTGAGGTATATATATATATATATATATATATTAATACTTCGAAGTATATATGTATAACCACTCGGATATGATGGTTTAGCAGTTTTCGTACTCGTTGGCGCTAGCGGTGAGCTCCGCCAGCGACGCCGCAAGGGCCCGCACTTCGCTGCCCGGCAGCCCGAGAAACACTGTCACAGGAACCACCATTGACGACGACGACTTTGTCCAAGTCGATACTTGAGCTGGTGCCTTCGAAATGCTCCATTGAGGGAAATACCGATCTTTAACGTCCGCGACAGTCTCGTCTGTTTTGTCCAAAAGAGAGTAACACCCCCGTACAAAGCCTTGGGGGATCGATGCTTGGTCGCCATCTAGGACGATAGTATATTCACCATCAAACATATGCAAATATATACATGGAACTATGGGCAATTTAAAAGGTATAATGCATCGAAGAACACCAGCAAATGGGAAAAGTGATCATATCGTAATACCAGAGTTGGGTTTCACGAATGGAATGTCGTGGGCGGCTGCAGTCGCTTTCCACACGTCCAGCACCGCCAAGAGCCGTTCTTGCATGCGGGAACCTGCGACAAGGGGTAGCGCAATCGAGCTCGACGATGTCGCACACGGTAGCCACTCGGCCACCTATTTTTTAATCAAATCGCATGATATATTGTGATTTATTCGCTATAAGCTATTTAAAATTCGCATGGTTTGTCTAATCAATATTGAATCACACTGGAGTTCTGATTGGTTGAATATGTTTGAGATTTCTGTAGGAGCCAATCAAATCCACATAAAATTTTGGATTAGCCAATAATGTCGACTCGTGATTCGATTCGGTGGCGAGATTAATTCGATTATTCGACGGGGTCTGGAAATTCGAACCGAATCCACAATATTACTGTTCTATTCTTAATGAAATCGCAGGATATTAATCCAATATTCTATAGAGAAAATATAGAGATCAAATTGCAGAATTTTGTTCCCTTTTTCACTCAAACTCGACGTACGAGGTTGTTGTCTTCAGTAAAGTCCACCACCACAAGGAGCAACTGTTCGTGTGGCGTGGCCAGAACACGCAGCGCCAAAACGTGCGTCGGAAACGGCACAACCAGCGGCGGACAATGCGCGCTTGTCAGCACAAATCCCTATTAATTAATAGCTACATATTAACATCCCCAGCCGACATGGCACTTTATAATATACATTTGTATTTATTACATATATATGTGAAATAAATATGTTGATGGTAGGTTCTTACATGCGCATAGGGCTGGAGGGTGCCTTCGATGACATGCAAATGCTGGGATTGCACCAAGATCTGGGCATGCGACACCGAGGTGCCAATCGGTCGGCCCACCTTGACTACACTTTCCAGCTATTCACAACCAGACCCATCAGATTGTTTTCCCCATCGATATATATATATATAATATTGAGATTGCGCATGATGATTCAAATATATATACGTTGTACCATGTAGTCGGAAGTTAGAACGTCGTCAACGTGGGAGGCAAAATCTGCCTCCATCCCTGCCTGCACCCACGTTCGAAGGTACGGAAATGAACTCGCCGTGAGCACCAGCAGATCGTTCGAAGCAGCAGGAGACGCCACATGTAAGAGGATCGAGTCCCCCACAATCAAAGCCCCCACACTCGCCCCCGCCACGACAGTGCTATAAGATATATACATATATACAGCCCCCAGTGAATATATATATATCCCCATATATCTACAGCCAATCAATTCACTAGTGCGAAAACCAGCTAACGTTTCAAAGCTCGACAGAATATATTGAACGCACCTCATCACAGCACTTAGCGTTGTCGTCACGTAGATATGGCTCCATTCTACATCAACAATTCCACTTGGCCATGAGCACCATTGACGATAATAATGATAAAAGGAATGAGATACGCACTCGTATGAGGCTCCAGAATGGCCATACGTTCTCCGCAGGCATCGACGCATTCCACGTGCACCATCAGTTGCTTAGCAATCGACGCAGCAACGATGTCAAAGGAGCTGCCAAGCTGTCGTTCAAAGGCCTGGATTGCAGCAACTTGTGCGCTAGCCATCCATTCCTTAGGTGTCGATCCTATGACAAACCAAGTCAAGGCAATCAATACTTCAGTATCGTAGTCACTCAATAAAGGTTCGATTGGCATACCTAGTGCTTTGGCGCTAGCTGCGACGGCGGGTAACGTGGTCGCCGTGTGCACCTACATATTATGATCCACTTGTAAAATCAAGTTGTACACACAAACTACACCGTACAGTAAGCAATTTCTCGTACAACGCAATCAAACGACGCGTATCCGCGGCGTTCGTTGGCACCGACTCGTACCGGTCCAGCTTGGAATCAGCCGGCGACACGAGCGCGTCGGGATCGACGATGCGGGCCGCGCATTTCCCCGTGCCAACGAAATACGTCCGGCCCACGCGGATCCCCGTGAGTGGTTCTTCGGCCACGACGGTGAAATGGGTGGCTGGGAACTGTCCATGCACTCCCTACAAGAAGTCAGCCTTTTGAACTGTGCTATTTGCAACCAACCTACCGCTTGGGGCGACGTGATGGTCGGAGACGATGTCGCAGTTGAAAACTCGGCACTGGTGCGCGTGCCAAAATGCACTGTCGCGCCCCGGTTCGGTGCCCGTTGGAGCCTCCGTGCGTCGTGGCGAATCGTGCCAAAGTCGTAGAAACTGGCCACGTCATCCGCGATATCCGCTTCGGTGAGGGCCCCGCGGGCCGCCGGGGTCTCGGCGTGGTCCAACTTGGCCAGCAAACCCCCGAAGTGATGCGCCAGCGCAGGCTCGGCGTCCTCGACAAGTCGCCGAGCAAAGAAGTCGTCGATGTCCGTGAGCCGGGCCATAAGCGCCATGGAGCAGTTGACCACAGTGTGGTGCATACTGAAGAAGCCCTTGACGGCGCTGGAGGGATGGACGTCCTCGAGGCCGAACGACTGCACGAGGGGCCACGCTTCCGCCGTGGGTACATCTCCTGTGGACTTTGGTTCGTGCAGGGCAATACCGATCGTGGCGTGGGGCTCCACCATGGCGCGGAAGGCGCGGATTTTGGTGAGTTCGCGCAGATCTTGGGTCATGTCGTCGGTGGCGACGTACTCTGTTACGTTACGCCAATTGCTCAGCAACGGGAGAAGCAACGCCGCGCTGTCGCTGTCCAACACGTAAAAGATCGACACCGCGGTGCGCGTGATCAACACGACGACGTCTTCGAGCGCCTCGTACTGCTGCGGAATGACTTGTTCCCCCAACAGCTCTTGGCCAGACTTGCCGAGAAACAGAAACTTCAACGCTGCCTGCGACCCGTGCGAGTACAGTCCGTCCGCGCCACCCACGATGAGCATGGCTTCGTACCCGCCGCGTCCATCATGGTGCTTGTTACCGCAGAGCGCTTGGAGGCGTTGGAGCCGCTGGTAGCTATCTTGGCCACTAAACGCTTGTAGCTGGTGCGTCCGATGCATCTCTCCAAGTAAGTGATTGTTCGCCGGGTTGAAAGGTCGCGGCAAGATCCACAACGACGTTCGTGGATTGGATGTATTCAGCGTCCAATCATCCAATCGCAGATCGTTTCACGTCCAGAATGGAGCCAATGAACGATGTCGATACAAGATAGTACTACTATTAATATTAATACAGTAGTGCGCCTAACTGTAAAGGTAACGTCCTTTTCGCTGAAGGCAGTTGATTCGAGAATCGATTTGAATCAGACTTGAAGTTTATTGAATGTATGGTATTGTGGATTTCACCCAAATTTGGACTTGAGAGTCATTTCACCAAATAGCATTTGATCCTATTTAATCTTGTACACACTATACTATACAACGATTTTAATATATATGTGGTTTTGCCCAATGCAGTGGGGTCAAACATTTGGATTGGCAGAAAATAGACATAACGTGATTTGATTGGCTCAGGGGTTCTTTCCGAAGACATTCAATCGATATACACATTTCAAGGTAAACATTTTCACTGGGCCAAACTATTCTAATCGATGATTGGATGAAATGTCTAATTAGTTCACTTTGATTGGCTAGGACATGCTCAGATACATTTGTCAAGTTCATTCGATATTCGACTCGAACGTACAGAATGCTGTAGTATCTGCAGTCGTGTCCAATCACTTCGACTTTAGAAAACCCACACACAAACAACACACGCCCCAACGTGAAGAACGTCACTTGTTAATTCAAACACAGCACAGTCTACTTATTCACAGGGGGGGCCGGCGGCGGCGGCGGCGTCTTGGCCGACGGCAGGGGTTGCTTGTTCGATGTGGAAGAAGACGATGGCGGCGGGGGGGTCTTGGCCACGGGCGGACTCGCGCTGTTGTTGCGCGGCGTCCGCTTGGCTACCGAGGCCTTGGCCCTCTTGGTGGCGTGGCTGTCCTGCTGTGTCAACGGGCGTTTGGGGGCTTTGGCGGGGTCTGGCTTGGGGGAAGCAGATGGCGTCGGTGCCTTCTTGTTATCCGACAACGACCCGGTGCTGCCCCGCATAAGGGCGTCGATAGGATCGTCGGCCATATCGGTGCCATCGTCCCCCATGCCCAGGTCAAGAAAGTCGGCAGAGTCCATGTCGCCCAGCGCGTCGCTCAGCCGGGAGCTCGACAGCGAAGTCGACCTCTGGTTTGCGGGCGGTTGCTGGCTGCTTGTGGGCCCGACGATGTTGCTGCTACTGCTGCTGTTATTGCGCTGCATGGGGTTGGACGGAGATGCCACCCGTTGCTGCTGCTGCTGCTGCTGTTGCTGCTGTTGCTGTTGCTGCTGTTGCTGCTGCTGTTGCTGCTGCTGTTGGGCAGTGGGGCCTTGCGACGGGGGAGGGGGGCCGCCATACATCATGCCTCGTTGTTGTAATGCGTTATTTTGTCGAAACGCTTGGGTACTTGGTTGCGACGGATTATTGTTTGCTTGAGATGGGTTAGCATGGTTGGGTGGTTGCCGCGACGGATTTGGCTGCCCGGGGGGAGGGGGGGTACCGGCTTTGTTTTGAGCGGCGCCACCACCTCCTTGGGGGTGGCTGCCGTTGTTTGCCATAGCCTGGCGCTGTTGTTGCATTTGCAATTGAAGTTGCATTTGCTGGCTCATGCGACCCCCGCCTCCATTCGGTGGCTGCCCCATACCGCCGCCAGGTTGCGACGACTGCGGCGGCATTCCTCCTGGGGGGTTGTAGCCTCCTCCTCCAGTGGTGGGACCTCCCCCCGGTCGGCCCGACGCTCCGGGCGAGGGGCCGCTGCTGCTTCCCGGTGGGCCGGTAATCTGTTGCTGCTGCGACCCCATGATGGCGGGCGCCCCGCTCGGCGTTGCCGACGACTCGTTCGGGCTGTTGGGGTCGTTGCCTTTGGCGGCCCGGGCTCCCATGGTCACGGCCAAGTGCTGCAGGCGGGTCTTGAGTGTGTTGAAATTGCCGTACACTTCCCGTCCGGTCGCTGTACGGTACAGTGAATCTTCGAGGCGCCGCGCCATGTCGGGGAGCCGCCGGATCCATTCCGTGGGCGCGTCCGGTTTACGCTGTTGCAGCAAACTGACGATCTTGGCGATCATTTTCCGTCGAAGCGGCACGTCGCTCTCCGACTGCCACACGTTGGCCGTCTTGTTGCCTTGGGACACCATTTGGTTGTTGGACGCGGCGGCGGCTTGCTGTTGCGGGTTGGACGAGGAAGAGATGGCGGTGGACGATGGGGACAGTCCTTGGCGCGATGATGGAGGGCCTCCGGAAGGGGGTACAGACGGCATCGAGAGGCCGCCTGGGGGCGGCTGCCTGGCATGCGGATCCATGTTTAAGTGCCCTCCTGGTGGGTTGTTGTTGCGGGCAGACGGGGGTGGCACGTTGTAACCCGGTGGCATTTGCTGGCTAGAGCCAGGTTGCATGTGAAGGGGGTTATTTTGCATGTGCTGCTGCATGTAGCTGTTGGGGTGGGCGGCGCTGTGTTGTTGCTGGAGGCGTTGCATATTGGCCATGCACAGTTGCTGCGTGGCCCGCAGAATCTCTTGCGGCGGGGGGATCAAGTCGGGTTGGGCACTCAACATGCTCTTGAGCTTGGCTAGTTCTTCGTCGTAGTTGGTCGGGAACGGATTCACACCCGACGTCTGCCGCATGAGCTGACCGCCTGACATGCTGGTTGTGCGCTGCAGGGTTTGGGGCGGCTGCTGCTGCTGCTGCTGCTGGTACGGGGCGCGAGGTTGGGCGGGTGGCGGCGGTTGGTTGTACCCGCCACCGCCATACATGTTCATGTTGTTTCGCTGTTGGGGCGGCACTTGGCCGTAGTTGAGGGAGGACGGTGGTGCGGGTTGGCCGTAGTGGTTGCTCATGCCGACGTGCGAAGGGGGACCGCCGCCTTGGTTGATATGGGGGCGCGAATTCGGGTTGCCCATGTTCATTGGGGGGCCGCTGCTATCGGGCAGCAAAAGCGAACTGAGGAGCTCGGTGTTGCTCTCCGAGAGGCGACTGGGAGGTCCCTTTGGCGCGTTGTTTGGGTTGCTCGGGTTGGATGAAGGCGGGCCGCCGCCATTGTGTTGCATCCGCGAGCCGTTTTGGTCGCTCACCGAGTCCTTTCGACCGCCCATGTGGTTACTATGGTGCAACGAACTGGACGCTGGGCCTTGGTTGTTTGGCTTGTCGTGGTTCATGTGTGAAGATGGGTTACTGTTGTTGCCGCGGCCAAGGGAGTTGGTGGCCGGCGGCGCGTTATTGCCGTGATGTTGATGGGACGATGGCGGCTTGGCCGATGCCTTGTCGTCGTCCTTGCCAATGTCGCTGCCAAAGAACATCCCGTCGTCGTCGTGGAACCCGCCGTCGTCCCTATTCAGGTCGGAATTGCCCCCAGAGGAGTTTGTTTGGGCCGACGAGTTGTTGCTCTGGCCGCCATTGTTGTTGGCGCTGTTGTGCAGGCCGGGAAACACGCCGGTGCCAAGGCTTGCGACACCCGGGGGAGTGCCAACGTTGAAGGGCAATGTTCCAGGGGAATCCAGTCCAGATCCGTTCATGCCCCCCATGCCGCCGGACCCGAGGCCGAAATCGATGTCGCTCAGGATGTCGCTTTCAAATTCAAGGCCTGGAAATGAGTCCATGCTGTTGTTCGTCGCGACGTCTGAAGTTGCTGATGTGTGGTGATGGAGGTGGGAGAGTGCTAACGACGATGAAGTCACGTACGTCTGTCTCGCTGCTCCTGTTGCGGGGTCGGCTCCTAGCGCTTGATGTCACGAACTCGGCGACTCCGTGGACTACACTCTCTGTCTGCTATGTGCGCAGTTCAGAGGCTGGAGTAAAAAATATAATAAAATAAAGGGCCACTTTAAAATTCAAACATTTTCGCACACCCCCATGGTGCACGAAAACCTCTCAAATTGTATATTTCTCGTCGTCCCCGGGCCTTCCACCCTTGCCCTCACACTGCTTCCTTCGCTTCTTTAGCATGTTCACCAACGTATGCGCAAGTCGTGGATCCCTTGACCGCGCAGTCGTCGCATGGGCAAAGGGCTCAAGGGCCTCACGTTGGGAGGGCGCCTAATAAATGCATTCTCAGAGGTGTGCAATAAAAACCGCTAAGTTCGGGGTTCAATACAAACAGGTACTACAATACGAATATTATAATGCCGACGCCGTCGATTGGCCGTGGAATTTAAATTCCACCTACCCCTCGTGCAATGTTTTGAATTTGGAAATAAAATACCTTTGCCATTGTATTGAGTCCTTGAGCCCCACTCGCCAGAAATTCGAAGTATAAAATGACCAATCAAATCGCTGCTTAGTTCCTGTCCCTTCTCCCGCACATACAAATCCCTATATACTCGAGCGGGGTAGGGTTTCAGAATACGCCAGCTGGCACGTACTGTACCGTCCGCATATTAATTGCATTATCCGGAGCATTTTGCCGTGAAGTCTACCATATGGTACTGTACTGTACAGTACAAGTACTGATTACTCGAGTAGTGTGGTGCTGCAGGCCGGCCCTGTTGCCTTTGGAGCATCATGGACTATTAATACATAGTGAAATCAAGCCTGGGGAATGAGAAGGCGAATATTTGAGGCTATGGTGTGATCTACGTGAAGGTATGCGTATAGTTGCGACGTGTGTCGGCCTGCATGGGCCTGCGTGTCATTTTCAACGTGTGCGGTACAACTGTACAGTAACCATCGAGAAAGGCAGAGGCCCTAGAGATGGGAACTGACAAGTCGTGCGTGGGGTATACTGTACTACGTAGTATAAGCTTCATGTACGAACTACTTCGAAGTACCAGATAATTACGTTCGACTTGCTACTGTGGTTTTGTGCGTGAAATAAATATACGTTTTGCGCAACCTTGTATGTTGGCTTGGCATTGCAAGCATCATCCAGTTCATGACCTTCCTAACGAATCGAAAGCTATTGTAACTATCGTCCTTGTGATTGTCATGCGTGCGAGAGTTGGTTTGATTTGTGCACAAAGTAGTTTGTACAGTGTGGACAGTATTCATGGGGAGAATATAAATGTACTACTCGGTTAACAGTGATTTGTCGTTGATTCTAGAACTTTTTCGACAATAAGGAACTTAATGCCCCCAATGTCTCAAGAAACTTCACCGGTACAATAGACTGGTTGATCCACATGTGTATAGTGCGGATTTTATCTTAGGCCGCTGTAAACGGCTACAATGTTTGCCTGCTCGTTTCACTGTGATCACACCTTCTTTTGAACGTCATCCAAAAATTTGGTTAGATGTCACAAAGCGACATAGCCTAAACCATAAGAGTTTCCAACGCCGAAGCGCGATCTCGTCCTTGCCGAGGGAGATGCTAACCGTCTCTCGGTTCAACGAACACAATTTTCAATTTGAAAATTAACAGTACCGGTCATTGCAATTGGTCCCGAGTTCAATCCCGGTTCACCTCAGTTTACCACTGTCGTGAACTATTAATAGTATACAGTAAATAGTATTTTAATACTATTTACTGTATACGTAGCATTGTATTATTAAAATAATACAATGCTACGTATTACTTTCATATTAACAATACGTTTGTACAACTACTACGGATCTACTACGTAGTACTAACCGTAAGTTGAGTAGTACTACTATATTATTACAATCTGCAGTGTATCTTGAACCGGCACAACAAGTTTCCAACATGCTTGTCGAGGTCGATGTGCATAAGGGCGACCATGGTTTTGGCATATACTTCACACGGGTGAAGTCCCATGTGCTAGTTGAAGGGTTCGTGCGAGCCGACGACGGAACTCCTGGACCCGCCGAACACGCCGGCACGATAGTCATCGACGACGTCCTCGAACAGATCAACGGGCTCGATATCACCGGCATGGAAATGGCGGACGTGATCAATCAACTACGAGCGGCGCCAAGGGGTGTCAATGTGCTCACGTTTCGGCGGGTTGACGTGGCACCACCTCCGCCGTCCAACAACTTCATGTCGATCCCTATGAACCAAGACGACGAGTGGCAATCCCCGGAATGGTGGGACGAGTTTGACAAGCTCAAAGACGCAGAACACGACACGTGGAATGGTTCGATCTTGTCCGAAGCGGCGTTTTGCGATCATTTGTACGCCGACAGCGACGCCCAGCACAGATCGTACCTTCGACAGCAATACCCAATCATTATGGCCAAGTTCCAAGCCAGTTTTCACGTACGTACGTATCAGATATGTATGCGTTGTATAGCTTATCGCTCGTATAACTATTAAACAAACAGCCGTGGCCAACCCCTGTCCTATCGTGTGAACCAACGACGTACTGCCCCCGACATACAAAGAGCCACAATGCACTCTCGACGATCCAACCATCGGCCTGCTTGAGAGGACTACTTGAATGCATTCGCATCAAATTTGGCTGGACACGCGGTGAAACCCAAGCGTTTCGGCTTGCGTTGCAAGCCCAGCATCAGATCGGGTCTGCCCTCGACTTGGTATGTGCAATGCGCCAACGTGATGGCCGCGCGCTGGTACTACATCAAGCGGCAGCCCCTAGGCAGCAATCTACCCCCCAAACCAAGTTTCCCAGGCTGACCAACTCCATGTGGGCATTTGTGTCGGCGACTGCCATGCACGGATTATCGGCCGACGAACTCGCGTTCGTGAATAATATTAACGTTAACTAACCTATAGCTTTCCCGAGTACTACTATACTTCAGTAGATGCGCCAAACTTTGTGTCCCAGTACAATAATGTCCAAATTGAGTTCCATTCAACTTTGAACTGGTTGAACCGATGACGTGATCAAAGTGACATTTCGAACGATGATTTGTGCGTTGTCGTGCTGCCGACTAGTGACGTGATCACCCTCGACTTCGCAAAAGCTGATGGTCGCGTCCACGATGCTCTCCACCGCGGCATGCTGGGTCAATACCACGGATGCCAGTGACGCTATTGTTTACTAGTATGAGATAACGTGTGGAATATGTGACAGCGTGTACTACCTGGGTCGGTCAAGTTGACAAACAACTGCAGTATTTTGTCACTCCAGTCCGCGGAGGATGACGTGAGCAGGTCTGCCGCCAAAGTATGGATCACAGGCAACGCCAGTAGCGTTTGCGAGGATTCAGCTACAGGTTCCGGTCACTTGACCAGAAGGATGATTAGCTTGTCATGCCGTACCCCACATTGCGAGATTGCACAACAGCCGAAGGCAGGGTAACCTCACCGATAAGTCCAGTGATGGCTGTTCGTATACCTCCGCGACCAAGAACTCCACATGTGCAGCGTGCATGATACTGTGGTTCGTGCCTAGAACGTGCAATGTTTCGTCATGCCAACTGCATAGATGTATAGTTTACCGTGTACGCTGAGGTTGTTCAAGGCAACAAGTATGGCCACGGTCAAGTCCTTCGAGTCGCTGTCCATGTTCCTGCAATCGATTGGCAACAAGTCTATAAGAGCTTGAATCCCACCATAGTCGCCAATCTGCGTTTGAAAGCGCTCTGTTCATACAACGACCACGTCAACGTACAACATGGAACGACTCAATCGTACTGAAGACGGAGAGGTCACCAAGACGGCGGACAGCGCGCAAGACGTGCGGACTGCCAGGGGTTCGCACAGTCTGGACAAGATCGTACACGTTCTCCGTGTCCTGCGGGTGGAGCGTGTCGCTGGCAACATTGACCTCAGCGTCGTCGGGAGGATCATGGGCGTCTGTTGCTCGCCATACCAACATGCAGCCGATAGATAGAGCAGCCATGGTCGCAGTCCCAAGTGCCGTCGCTTGACGTAGCTCGATGCGCATCGTAACGTTATGCTAGAGGTAGTACTTTGTGTGGGTGCGTTTCACACTATTTTTGTTCGGAGTATCTTGGGGTGAAATCAAGATATTCTTACACTATTTAATAGCGACGTAATACATGAACCGTCGCAACTGTTCGTTCCATAGAATTTTGACCATGCCGCCTCCAGAACAGCAGCTGCCGCGCGTGTGCTTTGACGACGAGTACCGCGTCCGAGTACTCGAGCTGGACAAGTTCGCGCATACACAGGAGCTGGAAGGCGAATGTAACCAGTTCGTCACGAGTACGTCCTTGCAATCCTCCGTCGTATACTTGAATCGCATGACTGTAGAAATGGAGGACTTCCACACGACTGTCAAGGGAGTCCTAGAGATCATGGAAGCCCAAGCGAAGCGAATTGAGATCGAGAAGCTCAAGGTAGACACTGTCGTGGAATGGGGGTCGGCTGACTGGATGCGTGTAGGCCATTGGGCAACGCAACCGCGTGGACAACGAAGTGGAGAATCGCAACCGACAAAAGCTCATGCTGGAAGTTTTGATCAAGGAGAAACAGACCGAGCTCGAGCGGTATGTGTACATCATCATGTTGTCCATCCTCCCGACTTAAATATGCACATACTCAACTGGCAAAATGCATGGACGGACAGGTACTGCCAACAGTACACGTCGCTCACGAAGATCGAAGACGAACAACAACAGCTTATGGACAAACTCAGCAACAACGAAGCCTAGATAGCACATGTCCATATACTAAGCGTAATGAATGATCTATGTTGGATGTACCACAAGTCCAACGTACTGCTTGGCATGCGATATTGTTACCAGTATGTACGAAGTACACTACTGTATTACTGTAATAGTAGGTACTTATGACTACTACCTACTAGTAGAACTACCTCATACTATTAATAGTACTTTTTTTGGTGGCAACGGTCGGGACATTATTCCATCGTCATGAGCTCACACATACTGCTTGGCCTGCGATACCGTGATGTATATATATATATATATACTTCGAAGTATAACGTTATATATATATATATATGGCGGTCTGGTTTCTTTGCAGTATTCTTGGGTAGTATTCTAGGTTCTATATTGTGTACTACTTACTAAGTAGGTAGTTGCTATGGGGCAAAATCTAAAACGTCGTCAAAGTGGGTCGCAGCAAGCGTTCGAATGCTGTCGTGCCAGTGCAGAGTGGATGCCTTGTAAAACGCACTGGATACCACCGCGTACAAATCGGTCGAGCCCTGGACAAAGTGCACGAGAACAAACTGGCAGCCAGCAAATGCCAGCGCTTCCTTGGCAACTGCCACATGGGGCGCGGCCATGCATTGCGCCAGTCGGCGAAACACCAGCGGCAGAGTTGCATCTCGCGCCGGACCTGATAAGCGCGGCGCCGCCATCATCAGCCGCGCCAGAGCTCGGATCGCAAAGATCTGCTGGGATGGCACCCTCACCGGCCATCCATGCACGAGCAGTCGCCGGATCAAGTCCCACGCCATATGGGGCACATACGCGACGAACTGGCCGGCGACCCCCAGCAGGTCGTCGCTGTCAGTGCCGTGGGTGTCCAAGTAGTGGCACTTGCACAGATGAACCCACGATCGCGCGTAGTTGGTCAAAATCGAAGCGCTTTCACCCGCCATCGCCACGTGTTCGATTGCATACCGTAGAAACTCGGTCCAGCTGTGGCCGTGGTCAAACGAGCTACTACTACTAGTAGTAGTACTAGTCATCGACAGGCCCTTGAGCTCCTTGCCCGTGGCGTACGCGTACGCGTGCACCGATTGGACGTATTGCAACCGCAGTGACGTGGCATCCACCAATGCCTGCGCAATATGCAGCCGACGAGATGGAACATGCTTGTGGATCGCGCGAAGGATGTGCAGCCGGGCGCTGGACGTGCGAAAGTCTTCGAACCGCATGTCCGTGATCAGCTACGATGATGAAGTGGTCGTTAGTACTATTATTACTACTAGTAGTAGTACTAGGTTTTTTGAGTCGAAACGGAATCGTGCTCGGAAGAATGGACGATTATGGTTATTTTTAGCCAATCAGGCTGTACAAATGCTCGAATCAACAAGTATACGACAAATTAGTGTGATGGACAAGCACAATGCCGAAAAAAAGACAATAAGCAATATTGTGGTATATTCGGTACAAAATTCCAGACCCCGTCGAATCGAATCACGAATCGACGCTATTGGCTAATCCAAAATTGAGTAGATTTGATTGGCTCTTACAGAAAAGACAAGCATATTCAGCCAATCACAACTCTAGCGTGATTCAATATTGATTAGACAAACCACATAGGAACTTTATAGCGAATTTACAATAGGACAATTCGATATTGCAGTGGGGGATGCTCAATCGAATGAGCAAGATTCGTAGTAGTAATACTAGATGGGATAGTACCGAGTGAATGAGCGTGGGGGTGATGTACTGGTCCAGCGGAGACGTATGCTTTGTGTCTAGATTCAACCGCACGCCATCTTTAAACAGCGTAGCGGCAAGTCCGCGCTTGACAAATGTCTCGTTGGGGGTGGACGTGTCCGACTCGCTGCCTGTGTTGTCGTCATTCGGAGCATGGAAACCTCTGTGACGGGGGGCGAAGAGGGCTGTGAAGACAGTGTCCACCACGGCTTCTCGCGTGACCCTATTGGCGGTATTATTCTAAACTGGAACGAGAATGAAATGAATCAACCAAATGTATCACAGAAGAATTGAGCCAATCAGATTGCAGGAAAAAAACGCTAATTAGTGTGACGCCCAAGTCGGGTGAGTCCAATCACCACAGGACGACAATTTTGTACATTTAGAATATTTCAGTACACAACACAATCGATCGATAGATTTGGCGAGCCAGCACATACATAAGTTAACAAAGTTTGGGTAAAAGGACAAGATTTGAGCACATTACAGTATTAGTCGAAAGCAAGTAAGCATCGAAACAAATCCAATTGTATATATTGTGGATTATTCGATACGAATTTCCAGACCCCGTCGAATCGACTCACGAATCGACGCGATTGGCTAATCCATTTTTGAGTGGATTTGATTGGCTGATTTCACATCAGACTATTTGTGTCAGAAAAACGACAGCAAAATAATAATCGAAAACCAGACTGAAATTCGCCCAAAAGTCGACACAGGAACAGAAAATGACACGAAATTTCAAATTTCACGGAAAAAAGCAAAGAAAACAACTGCAACTTCAAAACTGCAACAATGGAGATTGAGATGACATTTCGACATGTACCGTTTCGGAATGCGCTTTTGAGGCACAGAGAGCGCCAATCGATCTGTGAATGCGCTCTGCTTGGCTTGCGTGACGGGCTCGGGGTACATGTCGTCGTTGTTGTCGTTGTCGGACTCGGAGCCAGACCCGCTGCCGCCGTTGCTGTTGCTTCGAGGCCGTCTGGCAATCTGGAGCTTTCGTCGGGGTGGCCTTTTGGATGACTTGGGAGGTGTGGGGAGGCTGGTCGTGCTGGGAAGGACGTTGGTAGAGGCGACGGCCGGCGAAGGGGTCGTCGTCGACGAAATCGACTGAGAGCGCTTCCGTTGACCGATCACAGTACGGGACCCATCTTTGAGGACGTTCGCGCGACGCTTGGACTTGTCTGGCGTACCATCATCTGTCTTTGATGTCGTTGTGGACGTAGGAGCACCAGGAGTTGACTGTCGAGATGTCCGAGTGATTTTTGGACGTGGTGGCGCGCGAGGTTTTCGAGGAACGCCGTTGGAGGACGTTGGGGGTGGTACTGAAGATGATGTGGTGGTGGGAAGTGGTAGTGTAAATGCAGCAGCGTTCGGATTCAGCTTTGGTGGCTGGAGTGGCGTGGCCACCACGCCAGCTGGAGGGATACTGCTGGATGTTAGCTGCACACTGGAGAATGACGCCCGCAATAAGTCCATGTTGGGACCAGTGGGTGCCGTACGGGCTGGTTTTGACGGAACTGCCAGAGGTTGCTTGGATTGGCGCAACTGACCCTTGGACTGCGCCATCATGCCATCAAATTGTTCGAGAATGCCAGTAAAAGGGTTGTTGATAATTGGTGAACATGGACGACCATCACTCTACAAATATACTACGTAGTACTCGGGTGTTCGGAACACGAAATTGGGATTTTCCCTTCATTTCTGACCTTCAATAGGGATGATACCCTATCATTATATGTAAATGCACAGATTTTTTTGCGCCAATATGGAGATGAAATACCACATTCAATTCCAGACAGCTTCATTGCTTTGTACTACCCAAGGAGTCACAACCTGGATATTTCGAGCATCTGCAACGAACAACCTGAAAGAGTTATTGTGGACGTCCGGAATTCGTTTTTAATCCCAAAATACAAAGTCATAGGGAATTTTCCTCGAGTCTTTTTCAAACGCAAAAAGTTCTCGCACAAATCCCACCGAAATATTTTGCCATGAACACGAACGTGAAGCGACTGCGGAAGGAATTGGTGGAACTGCGCAAGAGCCCGGAAGCCGACATGGTGCTCTTCCCATTGGAAGACACTGTGACCGAGTGGAAGGCATTCATCAAAGCTCCCGCGGACACCCCGTTCCAGCATCGCGTGTTTGAGCTGCGCATCGTCACGACGCCTCTGTACCCGATGGAGCCGCCGAAGATGCGCTTCGTCACCAAGATCTTTCATCCGAACGTCCACTTCGTCGACGGGAGCATCTGTCTCGACATTCTCAAACGCGAATGGTCCCCTGCATGGACCTTGCGTGCGGCGTGCCTCGCCGTGTCATCACTTCTGTCCGACCCAGCCGCCGATTCCCCCTTGAACTGCGATGCCGGCAACATGATTCGGGCCGGGGATATGCTTGCCTACAACTCGATGGCCGCCATGTACACGGAAGAGTTTGGGTTGCCGTCGTTGCCCCCTTCTCCATTGTAAGTGGAACGAGCAGCCATCGAATACCACGTTACATGTTTAATGCGTCGTGTCTCCCTCTGTATCCTCTACACCTTGTTCGTGGGAACGGTCGTCTTCACTCTCGTCGCCTTCCTCGCCTTGCTGCGCACAGTCTCCTACGCACGCCAAGCTCCCAAAGTACATGGTCACAGTCTTGAGCTTGTGGTTGAGGTAGTTGAACTCGACTTCGGCCACATCTTCGTTGGATTCCTGGAGCAGCTTCACTTGCTTCGTGTCGACGTTCCGCGGGACAAAGTACACGATGTCCTTGGTCACCGCCGCCGCGATTTTGAACAGCTCGATGCCGTCGAACATGCCCATGCGCATGTCTTGAAGGGAGAACACGTTTTGGTTCAAATACGCCGGTCCTACCCTATTTTGTCATTTCCAGGTGGGAAAAACCCTATTTCGTACCGCCCCAAGGTGGGGACAAAAACACGACGTCCGCATGGTGCAACCGCGGCAAGACGGCAAAACTGTCGCCGACAATCCACTCGATGCGATCGGCAACCCCGTAAATCGTCGCATTATGCTTGGCAATGGCAATCTTGGCCGGGTCCACATCGATGGCTATGACGTGGTGGCACGTCATGGCAAGTTGGATGGCGTTGCCGCCGCACCCTGTGAAGGCATCGACAACCACGTCGCATGCAATGCGCGTCGCGTGGTGCGCAGCAATCACTTCGGGGGTGACCTGGGTGAACGTTTTGACAAAATCAGGTACGATACGATCTCGTGTGACAAAAGATGGTTACCGAAAACCATCCTTCGTGGTCCAACTCAATGCCGAGATCAAACTTGGAGAAGAGCGCATATCGCTGGGCCCAGTACTTTTGAAGAGATGGGTGGATGTGGGCTAGGGAACATGGGGTTATACAAGCGATGATGGAACATGGTGATGGATGTACCGGGTTTCTTTTGAGGGGGAGGAGCGGACTCGGCGGTGGGTGCATCGTCCACGATGACGTCGTCGGTAGTTGTATCGTCCTCCAGAGGTCGCTTGCGCATCATCGGAACGACGGGGGGGTCAACTTCCACGCCCTTCCCGTCGTCGTCGAACGTGATGTACTGTGGAGTTTGACGACGCATCGTTGGTGGCTTGGTGTCTGAACATTGAAGTCATGGACTGTATTCCAGAGAGAGTCGAATGTACGTTGCTTGGTCGATCCAAAGGACAGTGGAAGCATGCCTGCCATACCCACCGCGTCCATTTCGTCTTTAAGTAGCTGCTGCTGCGCTGTTTCTTCCGCTTCTCTTGCGAGTTCGAACGGATCAGGAACTACGTCGTCGGTCAACCGCGGTCGACGATGCTTGCGTTTCCTCTTTTTCCCTTTTTTGGTCTTGGAAGCCGCCTGGGTGGAATAATAATGACACACAGAAGCAACAATGTAGTCTCTCCTTTCTACCTTCGCCGCATTGGACTGTCGGACGGTCGCCTCCACGTCGAAGAGGTACACCTTGCGGAACGTGATGGCCATTTTTCACGTTCGTGAATGAAAGATTTCAACCAATAAAAAGCTCAAAAAAGTATCCAACCAATCACGATGCTTTCTGCCTTCAATAGCCAATCATCAACAACGTGCATTTCGAAAGGACACTTGATCAATAACGAGATGGACCCCGCAGGTACGAAGGGTGATGCTGCGAGATGTGAGTGTTGGCATCACGCACACTTGCGCTAGTCCTTGCCAAGCGACCCAAAGTTCGAACTTGTTATGTGTGCGGAAGGTTTGCAGTGACATGCCCATGCTGCATCCCTCATCACACTATGACTGGACTAGGGACTATGGGTTTTCATCGTTCGAGATCCACTTGAAGCAATGCAAGCAAATGTGGATTGCACAGGTGGGTGATTCAACCAATGCTCTCCTCTGTGGACATCGCGGTACTAGGAAGAATTAAAACCGTTGCGGGAGCGCCGGCCAGTCCCGGAACCCCCACCCACGCTGCTCGTGGCCACCGAGGGCGGCGGCGATGCTCCTAGCTCATACGACTTGACCCCAGAGCAACTAGAAGCGCAAAATCGAGCTGCCCAGCAAGCCTTTGAAAACAAGGCACGTGCCAAGTACTATCTATGGTCATGAAGGGTAGCCTTTCGACATGTCGTCAGTAGGTTATGGAGAAGTGTCCATACTGTGGGCGAACGTTCAACCCCGAGAGGTAAGTGCGCTTACATGGAGAATTATTCACGCATAACGGTATTGCGCTGGGTCAGGCTTGCGATCCACAATCGAAGCTGTACTGCGGAGCATCCTGCGAAAGCAATTGGTCAAGCTAGACTCAGTAATGTTGTCCATTCGATACCTCTGTGTTGGAAGTACAGGCGACAACAATACCATATTGTAGAAGACACAAGCAGTGGTAGCGGCGGCGATGGCGGGGGCAGTTCACATGCATTACCTGTTAAAGCCAAGGTACCACCCACCCACGAGTCCAAATCATATGGTTGACAACGTACACTTGACGCAGGAACCCCAACTTAAGGTCAGCACCCCGCCCGAAGACAAATCTCGGTCTGCAGACAAGCAACCATCTCTGGCTGGATCGCTGGGGGCGAATCGGAAACAACGCGCCGCCCTGCAGTCCCCACTGACAAGTTCATCCCCAACAGGCCAAGACGAGTTATCCCCGCCATCGAATCGGTCCATTCAAACCCTCAAAGCCAAGCTGGACCACTGGGAAAAGACCGCATTGGCCATGGTTCAAGACATTCGGGACATGAAAGCGGCCATCGATCAAATGTAGTTGACTTCAAGGGAGAAGGATGGCGTCAATACTAATGATTGCTTTCCAATACTAATACTAAGTTCGTTCATAGCTTGGAGTGGCGGTACTATTAATAGTACTATTATTGACGTATGTTCGGGAGAGGAATAGGCTAAAGTTACAGGCTAGTAGTTGTACTGGTTAGAGGAACATGTACTGGTCACCAGAGTCGACCTTCATTTTCGGCACTTCGCGCTTGAGGAGGTCGAGCAAGGAGCTGTCGCCGCATCGCGTGGCCATGGCCACACTTCGCTGCAGACGGAACGCCAAGAACTTTTCCCGCAGCTCTTTCTTGAGATATACCATCTTGCGTTTGTGTCGGGTGTGGGGGAGAAGTTGGGCGCGGAGGTCGGTGACGAGCGCGGCTTGCTTGGCCTGTTCATGGGTGAGAAGTCGCACCGCTTGCTTCTCTCGATGCAGTTCATCCTCCACAGCATGCAAGTCATGGTGCCGCGCACTTCGCTCGGTCATGAGCTGCATCTCCAAGTCCATACGATGTATTTCCCAACGCATCTGGGCAGCTTGAAGCTCCCTCACCTGCCGTTGCAAGTCCCGGCACCGCGACTCAGCATCGTAGTCCTGGGGCTGCACCCATACGTACTCGTCGTCGTCCATGATGACCTCCGTTGCTGAATGTTCGTGAGTCCGTTGAAAGTTGAATGTTGTTCGAAAGAAGGGCCAATTGTAACTGTCACGTTTCCACGGCACCAGAAAATAGTGTGAATCGGTAAAGAATATTACACTAAATAGTGTCACTTGATATTACACACCAATTTACACTATTTAGGCCCAGCCTGAATGCCACACGAAATTTTTTATGTCAACTAAAAGTCTCGAGTGAAATTTCGTGTTGTAGCGTGGTTTCTAGTTGGAATTTAAATCGATTTGATTGGCTACTTCAGATGAGCTCAAAATTATTCGCCAATCAAAACCTTCTCAATGAAATTCAACCAATCAGATCGATTGTGGATCGGTTGGGTCGGCGCGATTCGATTGCACCGCGTCCCCAAATTTGTATCAAATCGACAATACTCGGAGTAATATTTTCCCGTTTCAAATGGAAGGTGAGAATATATTTTCAAGATATTATGATGTGACCTCTGGATGCCATGATGCAATGTCAACTATCGATAAAAATATCATGTACAGTAGTAAAAAATGGACACTTGCAGTTCAACCTTTTTTTCTGTCAGAAAACAGTAAAAACTTGACGTATTATGTCACTTTATATATGTCAGATTTGGTAGAGAAACACACAAATGCCGTCGTTTGAAAACTTGTCATAAAATTTCTGAAAAGTTGCAAAAATACTAGGTGTTTTCTAACATGTTTGGTGGTAGCCTAATCCCATTTTGCAAGAAAATGGAATAGTATTATTTTTGAAATGTTACCCTTAACTCATTAACAGTAAAAGAAGTGAAGCTTAGTTGATCGGGTAATGGTGTGCTAGTATATACTAGTAGTATGTACCGTTGTAAATAGTGTTAATAATAAAGTAATAGTGTAATTGAAGAGGATGGAATCATTATTATGGCGAGATTAAACATCTCGCAAAGACAGTTGGTTGTGCGGACTACCGCTCTTGCACGCACTGAGGTCGAATCCACACGCCATGGCAATCACAAAGTACAGAATGCCCTACAAGAACATGGGATGATCACCGTTGGCATCCTCATCGCTCGACGTACGATGCCAAGAACTCCGAGGCACACCCACATCTTGACGCTGCGCCACCACAGCGTCTTGCGCAGTTTCTTCGCCTTGCGATTAAACACAAACGACTGCTGGCTCAGCTTGTCGGTTCGATCCACGAGCAGCTCGAACTTTTCCCCGCGGTCCAGCACCTTTTCTGTATGTTCGAAGATGGATGGACACGGCAGGATCAGCATATCAGATGTTGAGAAGGACGAGGTAGGTGAGGTACCAATGTTTTCGACCATCGCGTCTTTCACATCGTCCAGGGATTGCTGCACCCGCGCAACCGTGTCAACATCCGGGCTTGCATTGTAGTACTCCTAATCAGGTTGTTATGACTGAGGATCGACGGACGGGGGAGGTGGGTACCATTTGACGCTGGATGACGTGCTGGAACTCGGCGTTCATGGCAAACGCGATGGCGGTTTGCCCTCGTTCGCCATACGTAGCCAAGAAACGATTCTATAGACGAAGACAGATTTAGAGGATCAACAGATACGCCGAAATTACCTTCAGGTCTTCGAGAAACTGGAACGGCACGCGGCGTTTGAAATCGTTGTCGGCCATGCACAAGTAAGTGATCCCGTCTTGCACGACATAATGGAAGATATGTCTATTCACCACATTGAGTTGCGTGAGTTGGTGTAGGCTAGGCCATGCTAGGCGATGTCGTACTGGTCGTAGACGTAGGACATTTTGCTGTCCTCGGTGGGGATTTTTGCGAGGAGGACACGGGTCACGGTCGGAAAGTTGCCCGACGAGGCCGTGAACTCCGCTAGCACTGTCTTTCCGCGCGAGACGAGGGCATACACCTACATGCAGTCAGTCTCACATGACGCCGAGGATCGTCACGTCGAGGATGGACGTACGATGGGCATGGTTGTGCTGTTGAAAGATTCTTCTTGACAAAGTCAAAGAGGCCCTTGTCGCGCTTCTCACACTTCTGGATTGGCTGAAATAAATATAATTTTATCCAATCTATTTGCATCATTCCGTCGTTGAAAACCCTCTGATATATAATATAGTATTTAAGTTACACAGGTTTTTCAAGATCGCGATTTTGAATGTGGTCGGAAGCGGCGCCGTGGGAGCGCAAGTTCCATGAGATCGTGACCGATCTGATTGCCGACGGCGGACTCACGGTGGACCTATCCACGAAGGTTTCACTCTTGGAGAAGCTGGCGGACAATCTCGAGCATGAAACGGAGACGGCCGACGAGACGGTGGTCGGCAGGATGCTGGCGTTGTGGATCTTGATCGTGGGTAACGTGGACCAAGTGTCAGTGGTATCGTACAAGTACATTTGCTTCCGCCTCATGACAATGCTGCTGCGTCGACCAGAGTTCAAGCTCCAGAGCCTCGACTTTGACTTCAACACCCAGGTATGAACTTACTTGTCCAACCCACCAAAGTCCATCCGTGCAACTGACCGCCACCGCCACCCACCCAGGACGTGCGGAAAGAAGGTGACCCCGAAGCATGGCGTCGCATCCATCTCGTCCGCAAACTCGTGAGTGACACATTCGTGTACTCGTCGAAGTTGCTTCTCCACGATAATCAGAGCGACGCCACGTACCGCTTTTGCGCGGTCGTGGCGGCGCATGCGTACTTTGTGTTTCCGATGATGCAGGCCCCCTTCGTGGACATATGTATTTGGCGCTATGGCCACCACCAGGCCATTGCATCTCCATCTTCGTCGTCATCTTTCCATTCGAAAGTGCATGCTCTAGTCCGCGCCATGTCGCTGCAACCAACGCACACCGAATTCATGGACCGGACGCCAGACTTGTTTCATTGGGGCTGGCTGGCCAAACAGCCGTCGGACGCAGCCATGTTACCGGACGATTCCACATGGCGCTACCTCCTTGACGCGAACGACGGCCACCTCTTCTGCGCATTCGTCCAAGCGTTTCACGACCATGTCGACCGCGCCATCGACGCCAGCGCGTCCCACGTGTCGGTCGTTGGGTGGGGTATGGTGCCGGGGTACCTACCGCTCATGCAGTTGTTTGCGGTCGTGCTGTACGACGCGGTGGTTGTGTTGACGGATCAATTTCTCAATCAAGATCGTCACCCCCCTCCTCGTAATGTCGCCCTCGCTCCATCAACAACACTCTTCCCCATGACACCACTCTTGTGCGAGACGGTGCTACGCACCGCCACAGTCGTGGCCACCTGCGGCCACCTCGTGCCACTGTGGCTCGTTGTGGCCGTAGCCGCTGCCTCCACCGACCGTAGCACCGCGTTGTCCAAGTCAGAATGGGCACAATGGGGCATGCCGCCATGTATCATCCAAGCAACGACCGCGTGGATTCAAGTCGGAGCCAACCCACATACTCGACACAAACACAACAGCAAGGACGACAGCCACGTTCAATCGTTGCTCTTGTATCCGTCGTACATTCGCCTTCACGAGATAGTAGTGCACATGTCGACCGTTTTCCCCAACGTGACTTGTGCACCCGAAGGCGTCGTCGTATCTGTGATGGAGTGGGTGTACACCCACATACAGCGGCTACCCATCGAGGACAAGGCCGTGGTGGCCAACTCCCTACTCGTCCAGCCGCATTTCTACGCGCTGTTTCTGCATTGGTCCCCTAAGGTCCGCCTCTGCCTGCGGCATTTGCTCGTGTATCGGCTGTTCCGCCACGACCGCCGCACGTTGCACTTGGCCAGTGACACGTACGTCGCCGTCGTCGGATCGTGACATCTGATTCGGGGCCGAGTCTGCGTGGATGTCGTGGGATGTATCTGATTATTCGTCTGATTCTCGCCATGGGATGGTTTGGATATGCTGACATTCGGATATCTATCTATATATATATTAGGTGTAGATATCCGAATATATATATAGATATCAATTTATCGGAAAGGTTGGATTGATCTTGGGTGGTGGCTGTCGAGTAGCGCGTTGTTGCTGGGTATGGGCCAAGACAAAAACAACTCATGTGAACCATCCATTGGGTTTCCTGTGGAAGACAAACCTGAAGTGTTGTCGGACAGCCCGAGCCTCATGCTGGATCTGTCCCTGGCCAGCAAAGTGGACACGTTCGTGTACATGCTTGGCCACCCTCGTATACCAACCACCAGCATTCGCATGTTTCCAGAAGCGCTCGATATTTTCGTGGACGAAGCGCTACTGGAGTATGGCGTGGCGGTGCAAGAGTACTACCACCGATGCGCCACGATTGAAGCCAACGAGCGAATAAATCCCATGGACGTCGTGGAGGGGCCACCTTTGGCAAGTCTCTTGGCGGCGCTCGAATGAAATGAATGCAGTTTTGGTCTGTAATCGATTTAAATTCCAACGAGAAACCACGCCACATTTAATACGCAATTTCACTCGAAAGCACAATACTATTAATAGTATTTATAGAATGGTGGTATCGTTAACAGGGAAAGATACAGTAGCGATTACAGAAACGACTATTTCTTTCGAATCTGTTAGTTGGTTTGATTGGCTACCTGATCGAAATTATTAGCCAATCAAAACCTTCTCAATGGAATTCAACCAATCAGATCGATTGTGGATCGGTTTGGTCGATTGCACTCCCCAAATTTGTATCAAATCGACAATAGCCAAACGAATTTCGAGTACAATGATACCTCATACGAGTACTAACTTATAATAGTATCGGTAGAATATCATGAATGAGTACAGCAGCAACTTGTGGCACTATTAACTGTAGTACCCCGTGTGATTGGTGAATCCTATGCTAAAAATATTCATTATGTACTCTGAGCATATATTATCAAACTTGAAAAATACGAGCCTTTTTCCACCGATGATTTAGAAATGGATTCCCAGGCGAAACTGCGTAGTACAAGGTGGCTTCAAGAGACCCCGGTCATCACTGCCGAATGCAGTAGTAAACGTCCACCTGTACAATTGGAAGAAAATAATTCCAAAACTGATAATTGATGGCTCCATACAAACTCTAAAATAGTTTGGAGTGCAACACTTGCGAGTTAGTAGGTTCATAGTATAACCTACAACTTGAGTGACTGTTCAAGGAAATACTTGTGAAAACATCACATGTAGAACGCGTTAGACATCGATTGTACCGTCCACGTGGCAGACTTGGCTCACCAAGCAGCGTCATGCCGTATGGGTTTATATATATTTTACTATTATTTTTAACTGTCGACTACTACATAGTGGTTGGTAGATGTGATGCCACCAAGTGGAATGCAATGTACATTTTAAACGATATTCGAAATCGTTACGGCAGGGCAAACCGACTAAACTCGACGGGATTCCCTCGCCATGTTTGAAACGCACGTAGGCTGCGAAATGCTCGTTTGTTTGCGAGGTATTCCGCTGACGTAGCTGCTGCTTTGAGGGCGTCATATGTGGCGATAGGAGAAAGATCCCCTTCTTCCGACTCGACTAACGCGATGGCGAGGCGTCCGAGCCGCCGCCGACTCAAGCGCGAGCTCATTTTCTGCTTGGAATTGACATCGTTGAGAACTTTCTTGGCGCCCTAGATGACGGTATATAAGTGAAGTGCTCGACAAGTATTGTAGATTTGGTATGGTCGATTTGATACAAATTTGGGGAGGTTTAATCGAATCGCGCCGACCAAACCGATCCACAATCGATCTGATTGGTTAAGTTTCATTGAGAAGGTTTTGATTGGTTAATAATTTTGAGCTCATCTGAAGTAGCCAATCAAATCGATTTAAATTCCAACGAGAAACCACTGAAAAATCACTCGAAAGCACAAAATTGTTGTGTTTATTCTAAACTGGATCGATACAACCAAATGTATTGCAGAAGGATTGAGCCAATCAGATTGCATGAAACCTTCATCAACGTCAATCAGTGTGTGACTTCAATTAGTGTGATTACAATCACCAAACAGGGCAACACTTTATATACAAAATTCACAGTACAAAGAATCCATAGATTTGGCGAATCAGCATAAAAGTCCAAATTTTGGGGAAAACCGACAATATGAATTTCCGCATCGAATCGCATGAAATGTCGCCGCGACATTTGATTGGATATTCTGAAATCACTTGCCTCTGATTGGCTAAAATACTATTTCTGTGTTCCATGTCCTTTCTGTGGAATATTTGTTAGCCAATCAAATGTCGCGGTGAAAGTTCTGCGAATTGGGAAATTCGAAGGCAGTACATACTACACAAGATAGACCTCGTGCTTACCATTTTGACGCCGCGGGCGCCGATCGTGTACTCGACAGAGGCGTCATCCACGGACGACAACCCAAACGTCCAGTTCAACGACAAGCCGGACGCACTTGTCCGAGTCGCGGACCGCGAGAGGGGAAACGGGTGCTTGGTCGTGATAAACGTGGCACATCCAGGACCTTCCACCCGCTGCATACATCGCCTGAGGGCGTCTAGCATAGCCCAGCACAGTATTGTGCAAGTTGTTCTAAGAACGAACGATATACGAACACACGATGCATGGACACGAACCGCGGAAACTCGTGGGGTCGGCATCTTGGACTTGACTCACGACGACGCCGCTGAGGACCACCTACACCCACCCAAAAGTCATTCACGAAACATATCATATGACATACACGACTAAGCCATATATACTAACTTCTACATACACGACGAAACCAAATATACTACTAGGAGGATACGTACAGACTGCTAAACCAACGAAATTATCGTATAAATATTGTGCTTTCGAGTGAAATGCCTTGTTGTGGGTGGTTTCTCGTTGGAATTTAAATCGATTTGATTGGCTACTTCAGATGCATTCAAAATGATTAGCCAATCAAAACCCATTTCTCAATGAAATTCAACCAATCAGATCGATTGTGGATCGGTTTGGCCCCTCCCCAATTTGTATCACAATACATGAGTATAAACCAAATGGAATATGGTACATACAGGAATAACTGTAAACACTAATGAAACCATCGTATACATACAGGAGTACACCAAATTGAAGGCTACCTAACTTTTGTATACATACAGTACTACACCAAATTGAAGGCTACCTAACTTTTGTATACATACAGTACTACATCAAATTGAAGGCTACATACAGGACGAAACCAACGTGATAACACGGCGCCTTGCAAACCACAGGCCACCCATCGACATAATTTGTCGCTGCACGACATGGACAGCGTTCGGTTCGCGGGTAAAATGTCCGACCGACCGGACTTGACGCGGGCGACGCCGATGGCATTGGAATGCGCCGTCGAGTCGGCTTGTTTGGCTCCGGTGGTGCGGCGCGGCACTGCGATAACGCCGTCAGGACGAGAATGGAAGCTGAGGAGCATGGAGTAGTAGTAGTAGTACCTGTGACGACCTCGTCATTGGGATGGTCCAGCTTTTGCTTTTTCAGTTTGGACTCGTGGATGACCTCGAGCGTGGTGTCGGTGAGGTCGTACAGGGCTCCATCACCACACGGCGCTTCGCTGATGTACATGTAGAGTTGACACGATGGTTTCAACCGTCGCCGGCGCTGTAACGGACCAACCAAAGTCGTACTGTCCACGGGTGCGAACTCGAAGATCGAGTCGGGGGGCATGTGCTTTTGGTCCTGGTACAAGTACCGAAGAAACGATCGTCGACAAACGGCCTCAGCGTGGCTGTCTGCCACGACAAAGCCGTCGCGACACAGTCCACTGACGCCCACACACTTGGTGCCTGTGCCCGCACTAAGCACTTGGAAGCGTTCGTGCGTGGCATCTGCATCGTCACCAATCTGTGTTTCGTGAAGGACGATGGCACTGAAGATGGTGTGCTCGTTCAAGGCATGCTTCTTGTCTGGAATCGTCTTGCGGAACCACGCCAACGCCGCCGCCGCCACACCGTCCTCAGTCGTGGCACTCATAGTACTCAGAATCCGGACAATTCATTACCATATCCGTACATGCCGATGATGAATGTGGACTTTTTACTTTTTGCCGATATGGTCTAAATATTGCCAAAATATCGAAGATTTTGGCATTTTTCGGGCATCCAGACTCATCCAAAGCTTACAAATCTAACACAAATCGATCGACTCTCGAATCAGCTGGCAAGACAAGTCCAAATTTCAGCGAAAAAGGACAATTAGGAGTTACACGTGACTGCATCCACTGGGACAAAACAGGGTAATAGTGAGTTCAAGATCGGGAGCATCGGGTTTACGTGGGTTACTAGGTTGTTTTTTGGCTCGCACTAGTCGTATGACTTTTGGATGCACTTTGGATGCAGCGTGGAAAGTACACTTATTTGGGCTTCTAAAAAAAACAATCAATATTGTGCGTCGAATCGAATCACGAATCGACGCTATTGGCTAATCCAATTTTCAGTGGATTTGATTGGCTCTTGCAGAAAGGACAATTGATTCGACAAACTTTGGAAGTTTATTGCGAATTCACAATGTGTACTTTTTAAGTGGGGTCGGCTTTTCCCGGGGTTCTCTCTACTTGAAGTACCAATGGACTATGGTGATGATTGGCCCTTTCATAGAAGGAATGTAATTGGCCCATGGTGATGACCATCTGACGGCCACACCGATGGCGTGTTCACAAGTGAAAGAACGTCGTGCCAGCCATGCCCTCGTCGAGAGATACATCATTGTTGAACACCCAAACAACCATGCAGTCGGCTGTGGCGGGTCGACCAGCATGGGTCAAGTACGCTGTCGTAGGCGGCGTTATCGTGGTAGCAGGTATCGTCGGTGTCGTGTGGAATAGCATCTCCGTCCAGGCCACACCAACCTCGTCCACAACCACGGAAAACCAAACCACGACCACGCCGACGCCAGCAGATATCGCCACGTCATACCCGCCACAGTATGCCGAGTTCTACACCTCCATGTTTGCCAACATGGACGCCACAGTGGACCCGTGCGAGGACTTCTACCAATACGCGTGCGGCGGGTGGCTCGACGCCAACGACCTCACCGACACGGATAGCTACATCGACACGTCGTTCTCGATTGTGAACAAGAACAACGACAAGATCATCCACGATATCATGGCCACCAAGCCTGACGTGATCGATCCGTTCTACCAAGCATGTGTGGCGGAACCAGCTGTGAATGGCGAGGCCGTGGCCGATGTGACCACGCAGCTCCGCCACATTGCCACACTCGATTCAGTGGACGCGTTGCTGGCGTATGCTGGCGCGTTGGCCGTGACCACCACGACCAAGTCGTTTTTGGACATTGACGTGGGCGTCGATCCGAAGAATGCCACGGTGAATATGCTGTACCTTTTGCAAGGAGGGTTGACGCTGTCGTCGGCCGAGTACTATGCCAACGCGGCCAAGTACTTTGGTCCTTTGAACGAGTACATTGCGAACTTGTCAGCCGCGCTCGACCACCACCCGTTTCAAACGAGAAATCATGGATCGGACATGATTGCCCAGACCATTTTTGACTTTGAAGCACAAATTGCCAACGTGTCGCTTCCCCGAGCGCAATTGCGAGACCCGTGGGCTACGTATCACAAGTTTGACCTGCAAGATGTCCACCCGTTTGTGGCGACCTACGTTCAAGGCATGAACCCATTGTGGGGGACCAACCAAACCGTGCCGGTGCTGGTTCCAAGCCCCCAGTTCTTGGAAGGACTGGCCAAGTTGGTGGCCAACACTGACTTGGCTGTGCTCAAAACGTACGTCAGTTTCCACTTGGTGCACACTCGCAGCCCGGTCTTGGGCGACACGTTTCGCGTGCTCACTCACAACTTTCGCAGCGCCACAGAAGGCCTACCGGCCGTCGAGTCCCGGCAAGTGTATTGCACGAACCTCGTGAAATCGTATTTGGGCGAGTACTTGGGCCAGTTGTACTTGGACAAGGCGTTCCAGCCGTCGGTGAAAGCTCAAGCTAAAGCTCTGATCCAGCAAATCGAAGACGCCATGACCGATTTGATCCATCAAGTGGACTGGCTGGACGCCCCCACCCGCCGCGTCGCATTGGACAAAGTCGCAAAGATCGCCAACTTTGTCGGTGGGCCGGATTCGTTTGAGCCCCTGCCGTTTCCCCTGAACGCAACCAATTTTTACCAAAACGTGCAAACTCTCGACAGCCTCGCCAACAACGCCACGTTAAACAAGCTCGGCAACCAAGTGGATCACACCAAATGGACCATGTTTGCCTTTACCGCGAATGCGTACAACGACGCAACGGCCAATAAGATGGTATTTCCCGCGGCGTTTCTGCAAAAGCCAGTTTACGGCGCGAGCGAGTTCCCCGCCGTGGCCAACTACGCGCGCATCGGAGTCGTGATGGGCCATGAATTGACTCATGGCTTTGACGACCGAGGCCGCAACTTTGACCCGTCGGGGCAGCTGGCCCACTGGTGGACCGCAGACGTCAAGGACAAGTTCGAGTCGAACACCCAATGCCTCGTGGACCAATACTCGACCTTCCCCGTCGAATCTCTAGATAAGAAGACTGTACTGGGGTACGTGAATGGTCGCATGACGTTGGGAGAAAACATCGCCGACAACGGGGGCTTGAAGCTGGCGTACATGGCGTACCAAAAGGCCAAGCAGGCCGACCCGACGATTGCTGACATTGGGTACGACGACACCAAAATGTTCTTCACGGCGTTTGTCCAGGGATGGTGGTGCTTTAAAGCCACCGACAACTTTTACACCAACTTCCTACACATGGACCCCCATTCGCCCGCCGAGTGGCGCGCCAAGGGGCCGATGATGAACTCGCTGCTGTTTGCCGATGCATTTCAATGTCCGAAGGACTCCCCTATGAACCCGGCCAAGAAGTGTGTCGTTTGGTAGTACTATATGTAGCGCCGTCAGTTCACGAAAGTTAACGAAATGGCCTTGTTGATCACATTAACGTGACGGATCAGTGATCAGCCGAATGATCAGTGATTAGCCGAGAGTCATTAAAACATGAGGTGCGAAATCTCTCTAATACTACGTAGTAAAAAATTGAATCTGTTTCGTACTTCGAAGTATTTGTTTCGTAAATCGTTATCCGTATATTTCGGATAAATGATTCCATAGATTGTAAGCGTCGGCGACAATTGTTATTTCCTCGTCCAGCATGCAACTACCGGTACAGTACAGTACCAAGTGCAGCACAAGGATTTCTTTATACGAATGGATGAATTCGTAGAATGCCATTTGAATACCATATTTCCCTCATCTTCTGGTGCAAATTCCGATTCAGACCATAAATTGCATTGTGGGCAATACAAATTTCAATATAATTGAAATATATCACTTCAAACTGTAAGGAGAACTTCCTATTGGATACAAGCACATTTTGTAATAATGAACACTAAAAGCCCTTAAAATCCCTACTATTATAGTAACGTTAGGCCAACAGTAACTACTTGGACACTCCATCGATTACTACGCATTTCATTCCAACTCTGCCAGCGATGAAGCGTGGACACAACGACAACAAAGTATATCCCGTTCGTATATTTTGGACGCTTCACCATTCTGCCTCAACAGACAAATCTACCGGTAGTCAATGATCGTCGGATAGCAACGATTCCCCACGTCACCTTTCACGACGTCCGACTTGCTTTGGTTGATCAATCTTTGGGAAAGGTAACCCAACGCAATTATCCCTGGGAGAGGCAATCCCAACGCCGTTGCCCTCGAAAGTCAAAACTTTGTTAGCAAATTGAGTCAACGATTTTAAGATTTTCGTGCCGCGGGTACGGATGGTCGACACGGGGGCGAAAAAATCAGAACCAGCCACTTCGATGGTCAACACGGGCTTCTTGTACGTACGGTAGAGGAAGTGTACCTTTGTGTTACTATTCTGACTAACCACTAAGCTACAGATGCAGTGCTTTTATGGGATAGAGTAATTTACAATAGGGAGATTTCGCAAACGTGCCATTGCCATATCCAGATCCTCTCCAAAATCATACTATATGTACGGCAGACCCTCCAAAAATAGTTTTGCTTGCAGTAGAAACCGACCATTGTACGGCTGACTCTGCCATTGCCAGATCACCGTCCAAGCACCATGCCAAGAGCTCCGAGAAGCGCCGCAACATGAAGAAGACAGAGCCCTGCTCATCCAAGTTGCAGCTGACCGCCCTTTTGCTGCAAAGAAGAGCCAACTCAAAAAAGCCTGGCAAGCTTGGCAGGGACCCTCGTTGCCTCCGACAACTTTGACCGCGTTGTTAATGGGAAAAGGGTGCAAAACCGTTTTTTGTTCATTGTCGAGGAACACCGCAAGTTCGTTGCAAAGTCAGCCAAACTGTCCGGTGCCTCTCAGGAGGAGAAGGACAAGCATGTCCTTCTGGGTGATATCATCTGCTTGCTGGAAGACATGAAGAATGAGCAGCCAAGTCGACCGCAAGAGCATAACGAAAAGGACAAGGTTGAGAAAGGTGGCCTTCTTGTCCGTGAGATGGCGATGAAGACGATGAAAAGACGAAGCGAAGGTGAAGGCGAAGAGAAGACGAAGACGAAGCTACATGCAGGTGAGAATCGCCGTGACAGTCTTGCTGCTGCAATTGCGGCGGAAAGCGAACGAGAGCTGGCCAGTCGAGCGAATGAATTGGAACTTAAGCGTCAGAAGCTGGAGTGTGAAATTCACGAGCGTTAGTTGGACCGCGAGGATCGTAAAGCGGAGCGTGAGCACCAATTGGCTTTGGCGAAAGTAGAAAGCGCAAAGTTGTCAAACATCATTCAAGCTTTGCTTGAAAACAGAAAGTGACCATGTAATGGCATTACTAGTATTCGTTAAACCAACCGAATCACATTGTACTCTGGCGTAAGATATTCTCAGTGTTGGAGGTTGCATTCCGAAGTAGGAGGATATTTGATTTCCTCCATTGTAGCAGAAATTGCAATTGGTCATGAACATGGCCAAGAGCACGATGGTTCCAACGTTGGACAGCATGATATTTTGGAGTACAGGTTTTCATCACAACAAAATTTGTCACTGTCACAACGCATTTCGTCGTTCTCACAAGAAAGTCGGCGTGGAATATAACCGATCATGTGGTAAACTGTTTTCAAGTTAACGTGATCGACCATTGATCAGCCAAATTTTCAAAATTTTCAAACTAAAATATCTCAATTGGTTTTCATGGCATTTCATTGAAACCAACATTTCCGGAAAGCTGACGGAAAGCTCTTTCGCGGCATATTCAAATGTATCGATTTAAACAATACTTGGCAGGCCGAAAAAATGTCAAAGTTCGGCACTTTACACAGTCGACCAATAGTTGGGGATTACGAAAGTAATAGCCGGATAATCCATAGGACTGCGAAACAAATAGTTTCGTCAGAGTTTCGTAATCCCAACCAATCTAATTTGAAGTATCTTACTCATTGTATGTGACTGAACAATCGATTGAATTGGTTGGGGTTACGAAAATTCTACGAAACCCATTATCCGGAGGCGACTCCTCTGACACCCGACACTTTCGGGCTTCGTACGTGGTCACGGCAGGCATAACAGCTTCGTGATTGAATCTCATTCGCGCTCCCGGGATCCAAGTCTATGATGGCATCCCTTGGCAACTTGCCAACGAGATCTGTATGACCGACATGAACAACGAATGCTGACATTTATGTTTTGTAATGAGCTTAGTATGCGTCGAGGAGCCCGGGCTCCTTGAACTCCCTTGTTCGGAAATAGATGCCCCAACTCAACGTGGCAGTGACGGCAAATATCGGCGGCGGCTGTGCGTTGTCGTGATGGGCCAGTTGACGTTGCCATGATGGCTGCTGCCAACGACCCGGCCATGGTGGCGGAAGCCTCGGCGCTCTTCCACGCTGCATTTCCGCCCCAGCATCACTCTCGGCCAACTTGCGCTCGATCGTGTACTGCATCCACGTGCGCACATCGTCCGAGCCCAACGCTTCGTTTGCGCACCTCCTCCAGGTGTTCGAAACCAGCGACTTTATCGATGAAAAGCTGCATGTGCTGGGCGCGCTGGGCCGGTTTCCGTCTGTGAAGCTCTAAACCCGCGCGTTGGAGTGGGCCATGGCGGGAGGTGTCCGCAGCCAGGACATCCACAGCGTTTTCGGCAGTGTCGCAGCCGACGGGTCGACTGTCGCATGGGAGTATGCGCAGGCCAAGTGGGACGCTTTGAGCGCACAGTACTCGCAGATCATCGTGTGCCCATCGCCAACTTCCAGACGGAACAAGCCGTCACGGCGGTCGAAGCGTTCTTGGCCGGCCGCCCCAAGGCGCGTTTGCCCGCCCACTGGGTTTGTTCTTTGAAAACATCCGCACAGGGGCTGCCATGTACGCCCGCGATGTGACACCGCTGGCGGCGTGGATCCAAATGCTGCGATAACAAGGATGTAGTTGCGGTCCAGTTGTGTAACACTACTCGGAGGGAGTAGTACTCGTAGTGCGTTGCAAGGCACCATGTTGCGGTAAATGACGAGTTTTGGGGTTAGTACATAGTACAGTGTAGTTGACCAATGGACGTATAAGGAGGATGTTCATGTATATCACGGTGGACTGAATTTGGAGCTGGTTCGTACATACTAGGTAGTACACACTGCGCAGTTAGTTTGCGGATGGGGCCGATAGCTGGTGTCCCCCCGTGCTGTTAGGGTCACACTAAGCTCAGTACTTCGATAACGTTATGTTATTACTAGTAGTAGTTGCAACTGGCGATGCTGTTAGCAATTACTTGAAGTTTTTACTTCGAAGTACTTCTATTTCATAGAATACTCCAAGTACTTATATTAAATCAAGTCCGGGAGGGTTTCGTAAGAGTTTTCGTAACTACCCAATAATCAGACATTGATCGGCCAAAATTTACACTTGAATTAAGTATTGAAAAAAGTTGGGTCAATTTTTCGCTCCAAAAATTCAAATACTATGTCTCAAAGGTTTACTAAATTTCAACAGGTATACGTATTCAGAGTAAGAGCTGCAAGTATTGTTCAACGTTAAATTGTTTACCTCCATCATATTATACAGGTAAAACTTATCACAAGGATTTATTTTGTCCAATGAAACATCGTATTAATTTCTATTGGACGAAACACCTTGGCCGATCGATGGTCATTTGGCCGATCAATGGTCGATCACGTTATAATGTTTGCGAAGGTACTGTATCCCAATTTCAGTCATGTCCTGGGGAGTTGAGGGTGTCAAATGTCAAAATATTGTCGGTGAATTTGTCGATGATGGTAATAGCTGATCTAAGTATAGGGTAGCGGCATACTGTAGTCCTGCTGCATTCAACAGCACCCAGGGAATGAGTACAACGACTCAGCCACAAGGTGTTGCAATTGAAGCCTGGTGGCCACGATTCAATCGTGCACAGTGTGCTTCAAGCCACCAGTCGCCCTAGGCGAAACTTTGTCGGCTTGTGGCGTAGGCCGAAATTAATCGTACGCCACAGGCCGACGCAGCTCCAAATCAATGTGATCGTTCTGGTCTTATTGCGCTGTTTTGGCACGAAATCTGGTGTAGCGTAGCTATATCCTACGTAGTAGATAGAATGCATTATGTTTTACAACATCAGCTGAAGACTGCGAGGGTAGGAGCCCTTCTCTGCAAGTGTTGGCCGGTGCTTGTGGGCCTGAGACTGCAAATTGAACAATGAAGTCTTTGTAACTTGTGATTGGCTATAAATTATGTAACCAATCAGAGGGCATTGTATTTGGACACTCGACAAGGCTGAAGCCCGATGGTGGGCTCGCTGCCTCTCCATGCCTGACTGCTGTAGTTCCCTTGCATTGGGTATACCCTTGTCGAGATTAATCTTAGCTATGATGGCAGCAGTTGCTATGTAGCGGTCATTGTGCTCATTTGTGATGGCAGCGTCACACACAGCACTTTAGTAATCCGCCATGAACGTGAGCTACCTTAGGCCATTGTGGTTGTACTGTACAGTAGTGGAGAATAGAAACCTGAAGCTTGCATGAATTTGAGTTCACAATGCGTCATACAATATTTGATTATGTGTTTACGTCTGTGCGCTGTACCTTGTGTGAATGAGCTCAACGACAGGATATGCAGTAGGCGCTACCAGTAAAAGTTTGGACTTAACTGTGAGTCGTGGGGTACCACATGTAGAAGTCTACAGTAGCCCCTCACGTCATTATGACTTCCTCGTAGTGTTGATCGTTATAATTGCTGCGATGCTGCGATGTGCAACCCATGCATAGTTTACACCCTGCACGGCCCTTCGGTACCCTCCACAATAGTTCCGTTCCACAGCATCCCCCCACGCTACATACATGGTTAAAACGAATTCTCTAGAAGTATGCGATTGACTGTGACTGTGAGTGTGTACATTGCACACTCCGGAGTATTTGAGTAGAATACAGAATGCGCATTGTCTATCGGGCTGGGGGGGCAATTATTGTGGAGAGTTCTACAGAAGGACTGTATAACGCTAGGGTTTGTTCATGCATCAAAGGGAGTGCATCAAAGGGGTGCACATCGCTGCAATTCTAGCGATCAAAGCTGAGTGACAGCATCAGTGATGCCTAGCATTTCCGTTCGACAGTGCTCAATTTCCAAACTTGTACAGTGGTTGCTGGTAAAACCCGGCCAGGGCAACTCTCCAAAATTTAAATAAATAACCAAAAGTAGGGATGTATGATTCTGTGTTTTGATTGGATAACTTCATGGGAATATTCGATAAC